AATCAATTAAGTCCAACATGTTTGGTCGACCTAATTTGGGTCGACCCATGAATTAAGATCCAGTGGCCCAGATAGGGAATTTCGACTGTGGAGCGACTTCGTTTCAAACGTCGAACGTCTCATGTGCCGAACCTAATGCATAAATTACTAGAATTTATTTTCACTGGTAAGCATTTTAGACCACTGAACGTCGTGAAAATGAATTGAGTCCGACTATAAAGTCAGTTCGACGTCTGAATCAACTGCCGAACTTGTAGTATTAGGGTCGACCTAAATCGGTGTTAAGTTCGGAACATGAAAGATCGACGTTTAAACTAGGCCTGAGCGGTGAGAATCTCGGTGATAACCAATACTCTTTGCTTGTACTTCAAGTGTTTATTAATAGATAGGGAAGAAAATATGTCAAATTCATTGTGAAGGTTAGTAGTAATAAATATTGATTAACATGAGGGTTGTCCAATACTCAACACTTGTTCAAGTGGTGAAAGTCGTGTTGTGTGTGTGTTAACTTGTACGACTGGTAAAGTAGAAAGTTGCTCTTCTGTAGCCAATCAGAAGACAAGAAAAAACACTTTTTGCAATAAATAGACTTGCCGTTGTTTTTTCAATTGCCCCCGCAGGGACTTCGCCCAGAAGGCGAAATCCCGAGGAGGCACTCTAGTAACTCGCGCGTATATTAAGGAAAGTGCTTACAGTTGAAATACACAGTCAAACAATCAATATAGCAAAAATCGCGATTTGCTTGAACAGGGGCCGCGAGGAATTTGTAGGTAATGATGACGTTTCTATTGTTTTCGCCCGCAAGTACGAAATGGTTAGGATGACGTTAAACACAAATTTGGGCATCAGGGAACGAAGGGCAAATTAAAGATACAGGACACAAGCTACTCCGTTAACTCTCCTCTGTACTTCATTCTCATTCCTTCTTGGCTGATAAGATCATGAGGTTTTTTTGAAGGAAGCATGGGTGGTTAGTAGAATTTTTATCAGAATTTAATGGTTAACTTTATTACATGTCCTTTTTAGGTTTTTAAGCAATCTTTTGGGATCATTATACGCTTCTGGGAAACTGCCCACCTACCCCTCCCTTAAGCCGACATTTTACCTTAAGTGAGAAGTAAGTGTTAAAGTTGGCTTAGAGGAGGGGTAGGTGGGCAGTTTCCCAGAAACGTATAATGATCCATCTTTTGGGTATAGTTTCATCACAGAAAAAATAACAGATTCCCATTTTTGAATATTTTAGGCCTAGGGTATTTAAAGAATACCCATAAAAATCCCAAATTTGGAAGAGTGAGACGAGTCCCAACCAGGGAACTTGGTTGGGAATTCCCTGGTTGGGACTTGTCTCACTTTGCCAAATTTGGGATTTTTGTGGGTGTTCCTTAAATACCCTAAAGTATTCAATATTGGGAATCTGTTATTTTTTTCTGAGGATAGATCTTGTCCCCTGCAGAAGGTAAGCGTAAACGTTGTCTATGATGGTTAGACTGATGACATCACACTTCGCAGCACGGAAAGAAAAAGTGGATCCACACAGGTGTTTGCGGGTGGCTGAGATGTAACAAGTGTTAAATGACTAGATCCTTCACTATAATTCTTTCCTGTATTTATGTTTTCTTTTACGCTACCAGAACCACTGTCATGACCTTGAAGTATTACTCAGTTTAATAAAAATAGAAAAATGCTAATTACAAGAGGATTAAGCTTTGATTTAAGAAACGGTCCAGATAAGAACGATATCAACAACGGCAACGAACATGTTGGAATGCAAAAAAGGTGCTAACTTTTCTATTGTCTGTACTTACTTCTGATTGGCTTAAACAGCAAAAGTTAACAAAACTTCATAAAGCGGTACATATATTCATCCTTACTTTCCAACCATCTTCCATATAACAAAATCTGGTCTCAGTTTGAATAACAAAGAAATCCTATGTGGGGAACATGTAAAATTGTAAACTTTTCTTGGCTATTGTTTTCAACTCTTGTGATTGGTCAAAATCTTTTAACACAAAAAAACACCCTTTCAAAGTGGAGTGTAAATGCATTTTATTGCGTAAACGGCCTTCATGTAGGCTTATGCATTCTCTGTGTAAAAATTAGAACATTCCTATGTGGGAAAGCACCGTTGCCGCATAACAAAAGAAATTGCTATCCGCCTTACCCGGATCATTACTTAATGCCATTTATTTTGATTTTCGTAGGTATTTCCCCCAACCCCTTCTCCCTGAAGGTAGAGAATTTCCGTTTTGGCTGTATTATGTAGCCTGCATAACAGGCGCTTAACTATGAGCCAAACGAGGCGGCATTGCGCGAAGCGCGAAGCGAGCGCCAGTCGCTATTTTTGAAGCACCTAAAGTAAAATTTTGTGAATTTGCTTCTATTCCGGGACTGTAGTACAATGGGCGATTAAAAGCATGAAACTTACAAGATTTATAATGGGCTGGTGTCAACCTTGTTCTCAGTCTTCTGGAGCTCCCGGGGCAACCTGAAAAAAGCGAGGGCCTTGGAACAAGGTTGAATAAAACTTTGTGTGGGATCGCAAAATCGATTTATTACTGGGGCTTCCATGGAAACGCCCGAGTTTAAAAGTGGGCTCGGTTTTACCTTCTGGCACAATTCTCTCTCTGGCGTCTTTTCAGCGCGTGCGCAAGACTGTAAAAAAAGTCAGCGGATTTTAGCAGAAGCCTGAGGTGAGCGAAGACATTAGTCTTCAGTGTTTTTGGTGCACTCAGTGATCGCAAGGATAAATTCTGTAATTTCTTGTACGCGATATCCTTAATTTATACCACACGCACACGCTGTTCGTCGGTAAATCTGCACTGAAAGCCATGGCAAGCGTACGTTTGGTACGGTTCATTTCGACGGACTGACTTTACGAGAGACCAACTTTACGTAGAAATTCTTCCGAGTGTACTTTATGGAAAAGCCTTCTCAAATTAGTGTCAGCTACGAACGGAATTTGATGATGAACAGAGTGGTCTGGTCAAGTCAAGAGTCTTGTCAAAGATACTAGGAATGCTTTCACATTTAAGCTTAGTTGCCTTGAATAAGAAGAAACAAAAAACGAGTTGCGTACTTCAAATAGCTTTTGTGTGACTTTAATTTTGCTCTTTGCAATCGTTTTCACATGACGTCACGGCGGCCATATTTGTGTACAAAACAATGAATCGTCGGCCATGTTTGTGTACAAAACAATGAATCCTCTAAACGTTGAATTGTTTAATTCTATGATAGCCAAATGTTTATTTTCGTGAGGGCGCTGCATTCATCACTTGCAATTCCTGCAATCAACAGCAATTATAATAATTCGCAGCGTTATCAAAATGAAATTCTAAAAAAATTAAATAGAAGAATTTCCTGTTTACTGAGCACTTTAAATATCAGACTATGAATTGCAACTAAACTTCCGAACGTATGAAAATTCAAATGGTCGTTAGTACCTACCTTTGGCGACTTTGCTTTTCATAATTTCATCTCCTTATTTTAAAAGTCAACTCAGAAACGCTTCTCCACACACATATTGCAGTAAAGTAAAGACAGCCGAGACAGACTGGCTTGTGAAAGAGCAATATTCCCCAAGAACCAAGAAGACTGTTCATAGCATCATGTGTTCTTATGTCTTCATCCGCCATCTAATATAAACATGTTATCACAGAATTTTAAATTTGAACTTGGCGCCGCAAACTAGCCTCGTGAATATTTCAAAAGTGTTTCTTATTGGCTCTTACGATACACGTGATAACGGAGCTTGAAACAAGGGAAAGGCTCAAGGCATATTTTTCAAGGGCATTTATACCGAGCTATTAAAAGAAAGACGTGGTCAAGCCGGCGAGAAGACCCTGAGGTCGTAGGTCGGGATAGAATTACCCATAGAAGCTGATGTGTTTTCCTGTGATCTCGGTCGGGCAACCAAAAGCAACTTTCAGATAGCGGAAACAGAAAAAAAAACTGCTTAATTGATTAACGAAGGTCAAAACAAAAATGAGGGGAAAAAAGGATAATCAGAAAGTAAAATAGTTAACTCGATCGATCGACTACTTATTTGTTTATTTGGAGCGTAAACGCGGGAAAATCGCCTTGCCCTGATGTATTTTCCCCGCCTTTGAACCGGTCGGACTCGTCTTATGTAGCCGCCACGAAAGCAGCAAAGCTTAACAGTATAGCCAGCACCAAAGCGCTGAGTTCAATGCCCATTTTACGTTGACAAAGTTCAACAAACCCGCATAAATTACATATCAAAACGCGCCAAATTTATTGTAGTTTTTGAATCTGGCGTGTTGGAGCATGCGTAGTCTCATTCTTGGCCCAGGCTTTCGCTCTATTCAAGATTTCTTGTAACAGCCTTGTAAAATATTACGCAATAGGTAACATGAAATCGCTTGTTTACGTGTGAAAATCTCTCACTTTCGACACAATATGTACGTCTACGTAAGCCTTAAACAAAGCTTTTTAAATCTCCCGAGACAAAATGGTCGCCGCGTGACTAATTAAAGGTCTATTAACAATGAATGATTAAAACAAACACCGTTTCTATTTAAGGATGTTTTACTCCATAAATCAGTGTTTACTTGCTTACAAAAACACCTTTTTATTAATTATTTAATTATAGGTTGATGAATTATAATAACAAGATGCAACGTTCACAAATGGTCTTGCGATTCAAAGCCTTTTCTTTTGTAAAAATGCAGGGCGTATTACTACGTAGAGCAGTCTTTATTTGCTTAAAGAAGCCTTTAAGGTTGAAGCTACAATAGGTTGAAAAACTACAATGTTACATTAATGTTTGCTTAAAATGTAAAGTAAGGATGAAGGATCCAGAAAACCAGCAAAATGAAAACTCCCATAAGTGAGCTGCTGACCTTATACCGTGGGCCCGAGTTACAGTTGTTTCCACTACAACACGTGTCCTCGGAGCTGAAACCAAATATTGGAATCGTTGAACCAATACAGGAAGAGGGACTATTTTTAGGCTGGCAGTCCTTTCCTTGGGTACCACATCTCTTGTAAAAGATCTGTTTCTTGACTCCACCGGCCGTAGTGCATGTCTCTAAGCTTTGGGCGCAATTGGGTGTTCCCGATGGGCATCCTGTTTTTGTCATTTTCGAGTTACAATCCTCCCAGGAAACGTTGCTTGTACAAGTGTAACAACTCAGGCAGGAAACTGTAAGAAAAACAGATTTTTTTAGGAACGAATCATTTTGACATATGCATAAAAGGCAAAAAAGACTCCTGGTAAATAACGAGAGGATTAGGGGGAGCAGGGCCAGTGGCACAGTAGCAACCTCGTCCCCAGGGCTTTTCCCTTAAAAAATGAAAGGGAAAAGCCCTGGGGACGAGGTTGGTGCAGTAGTGCAAGAGCACTCGCCTTCCAGCAATGTCGGGTTCAAATCCCGCGGCGTCGACGCCATATGTGGGTTGAGTTTGTTGCTGGTTCTCTTGTTTGCTCCAAGAGGTTTCTCCTGTTTCCCCCGTCCTCATAATCCAACCGAATCCAATTTTTTTTTCCAATTCGACCAGTATCGGTTATTGGTAATTCAATCTTTGTTACATTCTCCGCTGTCTTTTATGCAATGTGAATCTAGTAGCAAAACTACTAGGCATTCTATACGAAACAGACAAAGGTGACAGTTAAATCATCTCGATCCAAGAGATCTCAACTTGTGCTTTTGGTTCATCTATTTATGAAATCTTCACTAAATATTATCGAATCTACAAGCTTACCCCTTTGTGAAATGATAGTCAACACCACAATGCTTAAGAACACACTGAAATAATTGACCGCCATGATTTTAACGGTTGATCCCACGGATTCGACGAGACTCTAGATCGAACTCTAGAGGGAAGCAACTAATGATCAATAATGTTCAGCTTTCCGTTCAGCTTTAAAGGAGATGTGTCACGAAATTCACGGCCAAATTAGGTAATTACAAAATGCCCGTTAAATTAAGAGAAACGTAAAAATAACCGCTTAAAACATTAAAGGAAGGTTAAAATAACACAACAGATACAACAGATGCCAAGGATGGGCAAAACTGAAGAAGATTGAAACGGATTGAAGTTAGGGTTTTTGAAAACTGTTCAGCCTAACAGTTTTTCAAAGTTGATCTCTGCTGTTTGCAACTTCAAAAATAATGCTCAGGAGACATATTTGTTTGTCTAGAATCTCTGATTTTGTCATTTCCATGTAATTTCCTTGCTTACTTTAAGTTCCATAGCGATTGAGGGCGAGTAATTGGCAAAATTAAACAAAATGAACAACGCTCTTGTTTATCATGGCCGCCATGATGGATTCTTCGGTTTGTGGAAATGTTTTGCTTGGAATGTCCTCGATTTCTTTAGTTTGACATTTAGAACGTGCCAAATCGATCTCGTATCGTTACGTAAGATCACAAGGATGTAGTTGTAAGAGCTCTTTCAGCACGAAGCGCAAACAGTAACAGAGGATGTTCGTGCAAAGGACATTGCAGAGACAGTTGTAATTCCAGTTGTACAAATAGGGTAACTTGTCATCGTAAGAAAACTGTAACGGTTGCATTTCTAGTTTTTCTGAATCTTCTCTTCGTTAGAAATTCATAGACTGTTATTTTTGTACCTTTCAGGAATCGCAAGGAGGTGAGACTACGGAGGAAATCTTGGCTTTCGCCTGGCAAGTGACGCCAACCCACAAACCGAAAGATTATCAGAAGATGCTCAGATCCACAGGAAAAAATAACAGATTCCCATTTTTGGATATTTTAGGGTATTTAAAGAATACCCACATCCTGTGAGGGTGAAGGAAAATGACGATGTCAAGGTGGTATTTGGATTTTTTTACATTTCCAGAGAGTAACGCAATGATGCAATGACATACATGTGAAGGTGAATGAAAAAGTGTGCTCTACAGCTACAGCTGTACATGACTTTAGTCAGCTGCTTTTATAGTATAATGTGGATAACTTCTTTAGCATCTTCGGTTAGGGTAGCTGGTAGCTTAGCTGGCTAACGTAGCAGGCTATTTTTCTTTAGCCTCTTATTTTTTTTCACTCCTCTTGAGTTACTTTCTTTTGCTCTATCTTGGATGTATGTTGCAAGGTTATTGCCCCCGCAGGGATTTCGCCCAGAAGGCGAAATCCCGGGGAGGCACTCTAGTAACTCGCGCGTATATTAAGGAAAGTACTTACAGTTGAAATATACAGTCATACAGTCAATATAGATAAAATCACGATTTGCCTGAACAGAGGCCGCGAGGAATCGGTAGGTAATGATGACGTTTCTATTGTTTGCGCCCGCAAGTACGAAATGGTTAGGATGACGTAAAACACAAAAAATCCCGAAGGAACAGCTTACAATAGGTAGATTTTGTGACATTAATTGTGCAGTCACACTTTGATATTCTTTTGCGTTACATGTTATCAGTGACATTCTGTGGAGCAGTTGTTATGAAAGTTATGGACCAAAAGACACTCGTTAAGCGCAGATGAAGTTATAAGGTGCGTAGAACAATGTATATTTTAACACAAAGTGAGTTTGCCAGACACGACTTCACAAATCTTTGATTTGAAACCTTCAGCTGAACCTTGCCAGACACTCTTTCTCTCTCTTTGACCGGAATTAAGAATCGGCCCAAAATAAGCAAGACGAGCGAATGATTCAACGGCTAGCTTATCACTAGCAGAACGATGGACGATTACAGAAATTCGCCGACCATCAAATTCTGTGCTGACTTATTCCCTGCTCACAGATGTCCTTCCGCTATAAAGTTTAAAAAAAGACTAGAATGCGCGAGCGTGAATTGATCAAGCGTCCTTTTAATTTCTAAGGCTTACTTTCCGGCAAATGAAATGAACTAAATGTAAAAAGTGAAATAGAAATAGCGAAAAATTAAACTTCTAATTAAATCTTTTCTTATGGTTTAGAATAAACTATTCTCGAAACTGAGAATGTTTCGATCAAAGCTGTGTAAATCGAACCGAAACTATGCATGGAACCTTGTTTTCCTGTATTTATCTCACCTATTGTATGGAATATGTGTGAACATTTTCATTATGAATCGGTATATTTCAAAGAGCTACACAAGAAGCAAGAATACTATATACAGAGCGGGAGCAGCTGTAGTGTCAACTATTAGTTATCAATGTGTAACTGAATAGTCAAGTTTCATTAAAAATGAACTGGCTTACATGTAAGACTTTCTTAAGAAAAAAGAATGTTCTACCTCTCTCTAGGTATAGATAAACTTCCAACACCTGACTTTTTCCAGTAAATTTTTGTTGCACGCAAAATTCCAGAGCTTGATTATTTAAGGCTAGCTCGTGTTTCCTGCATTCGATTCGCAGAAAGAAATTGCACTTGAATTTTGTAATGAAATCTGAATAGCCGTTCACGACTAACTCTTCTATCGCTCCAAACAAGGGAATTCGGATTCAGACGGATTCAGGAAACTTGCATGGAACTCTTCGCTTCTGGAATCCGGAATCTAGCAACTTTTTGCTGTGAATCCGAAATCCTGGCTTTGGAATCCGGAATCCAGTACTGGAATCCTGAATTTATGACTGTCTCGTATTCCCTTGCATGCAGCGACTTTTGAGCGGCATTTCGCGCGGTTCGTCGTTACGTGCACAAAATACCGCAATCTTAGGCGCGGTTCAGACGCCGAACTTTTCATGAGCCGAACCTAATTCGAATTAAGGCCGACCCAAATTATTAAGACCGGCTGAATTGATTCAGACTTAAGATCTTAATTGCCGCTGAACTAAGTTCAAAAGGCGAAGAAAGCTCATTTCGTTTCAACTGCCTACAAAATACGTTATAATAATGTATGCATTAGGTTCGGTACATGAAAAGTTCAACGTCTGAATCAAAGCCGTTCCAAAGTCGCTCCAAAAGCGAAATTCCCGGCCGTGCTAGGCGAAAACAACGGCTGAGCCGTTCCAAATTAAAAGAGGCGTTTCTTATTGAATTGATTCATACGCCGAACTTTTCATGTACTTAATTAATTCAATATATTAGGCTCGGCTCATGGAAAGTTCAGCGTCTGAACCGGGCCTTAGTTACAAAATGCGTCCTTATTATAAAAGGCCGCAGAGCAGGGGCTATTTTACGAGGATATGGCTTCGTGAGGTCAATTCTTTCTTAAAGTCTGCTTAGTGCCTTTGCTCATACACAGAATACTCTTGGACAAAATGGGAAAGGACTTGTTCAAACAAATTTTCTTTATCGATTTTTCCCCTTTAAAAATAGCATATAAATGTCATTTTTCGTTTTGGGGTTATGAAAACAGTGTCAGGTTTTGATTTGCAACCACCACGAGTCACGGAACACACCTGAATTAAAAGACTCCTCGGAAATTCCCCATTCCCCCATTCTTTATCGTTGTTTATAAATACTTTGCACAGATAATCAAATAAAATTACTCTGCTTGATCGATGGTTTCCTTTTCAAGACGTACAAGCCGAGACTTGCTCGTGATGAGCAAGGCAGATGCGCAGTAGCACAGGAGGCACAGTTCTGAAAGGGGTACTGCCACAGCATTAATGTACCTGGCCCAAGTGGTTTAAGCCGTTGAGGTGGGAGAAGTGGAACATTGGTGGAAAGCCTTGGTCAACATGTCTCCAAACTCTCCCAAATGTTTAATGGAACGTCATGCATCTTACATGTAACAAAACTGTTGGATCGCTTAGCCGGTGTCATTAGCACGGAATGGACAAAAGCACGTTCACTTAAAGGACTTATAAGAACAATTTCGTTAGTGTCGACGAATTCACTTACTGAAGATGTCAGAACTACAGCTGAGAATTCCCGCACCAATTTGAACCCTTTTTATATTTTGACTGTATGAATTGTTCTGCAATTGATATTGTCTTGGGAAGTAAGCTATCTATTCCTTCCTTCCGTTTGTTCGTTTGTTTATTCGTTCGTTCGCTCATTCATTCATTCATTCATTCATTTATGCATTTTGTCAGTCAGTCATTCATTTCTAAACTGAAAGTATTGGACGAATTTGATATAATAAATTAGCTAAAAGAAATCCTAATACATTTTAGCGGATTTTAGCCCTGATTGTTTTGAATTGTTTTCCGCCTAAGTGAAGCAGCAAGCAAAAAAGTGAAGAGCTAAGTCTGTAGGGTTTCAAAGTTCACATGCAAGGAAAAAAGGCACAACTTCTCCTCGACTTTTTGGTTACTCCTCTTGTTAAACTGGCAAGCTGACTGCCTTCTGACGGGTTCTTCATCATACGTTATTGTGGCGATGATTTCTTTCCTCCTAATTTTCACATATAAATGACTGCGACGAGCTTCATTTTAAGCCGATTACGAAACTGACATACTTTTAGACCACGGAGATGAAACTACATACAAACAAACTATTCGCAAGATACCGGGGAGGCTAAATTATCACTGGGTAGGGTTTCACTGTGTCTGTTGGTGTGTTAAACTAGTATACATAATTATATCAAAAAATATAAGATCAGCAAATAAAAGAAACAATATAAAACTAATAAGTTGTAGAAAATACAAAAACTTTAAAAAAATTTGTCACAAATATAACAAGCAAATTAACGCTTTAAAACACATAGGCCCGAGGATTTTGCTTTAAAGATACAATATCTTTTGGAAAGGAACAGGGAGTTTAGGAATTGAAGTTTCTAACAAAAGAACAAATGAGTTTCAGTTTCGGGTTTCAATAGCGGAACCACTTTATTAAAGTGTCCAAAAGACTACTCGACATACCAGACATCCTTTAGCAAAAAAAAGGACCTAAAACTTTCCGATCCTTCCGTATGTTTTTAGTAAATGAGAGACAGACGGCCGTAGTATATTTCATACAACTAAACCGTAACGTGTTGACCTTTTAGCGTCACGGAACTTTCAAGCTCAAAGTATCTGTGATATCAGTTGCATCAGCAAGGACGCCAAAGGAATAAACTCCGGGTAGGTTTTGTTCTCCCTCTGCTAAGAGGATCGGAAGTAAACACGAGCTGCCATCAGAGCCCACTAAAATGTCAAAACGCAAATGTATAAGTTTCAGTTTGACTCATCACTGCTTCAAAAAGCCCGCAAATACGTGTACAATTCATCAAGGAGGATCACGTATTTTGAATCTTGGACGAACCCAATGAAGTTAGGGCAACCACACAGGCAATGTTGATCTCTCAAGAAGTCAAGATTATTTTGCTGCTTACTTTCTTGACTGGATCATTTTGCTTTGGAGGCTCTTTCAATCATGACCAAAGTAGGTACACCAAGTTAAATGTTGTCTTTGTTTTAGAGTACTAAAAAACAGTCTAGGATATGTTCCGTTTTAAACTCCAAAGATCCATAGCCGAGGTGGCCTAGTTCAAATTTCTTTGCGTTTAACGGAAGTTTAACTAAAAACAGTCACCCCGATAGCTAAAAACCACAGTTCAATAACGTACTCATCCATATACGCAATAAAAGCAGTAGAAACGCCAAATGGCCGAGACGTATAGTAATATAAGCAGCAACAGGGGCGGAGTATTTCTAAGACATTTCTCCCGATAAAGGCTTTCCTCTGTAAAATATTTTCTGAGTATCGTCTTATTAATGTTATTACTTTTTAAATACGTCAGCTCAAGAAGTCAAGAGACAGAAGAGAAACGTTGTGTTTCAATTTAGAAAAATGATAAGCTGTGCCACAGGCCGCAGCTTTTGGGCGTACCTGCCATACGGCTGTTATTGTGGTTTGGGAGGAAGTGGTATCCCTGTGGACGATACAGACAGGTATGGTGCGGCGAGTCTGTCACGGAGTTTAGGATTATGGCGGAACAAGGGATAGGGGGTGAGCGGTAGAGGTCAGGGTATCGAACAGGGAGGTTTACCCCTTCCTGTAATCGCCTGCCTTACATCCCTCATACCTGTTCCTCACCTCTTTTCCATCACATTCTACCCGGCCCTTCCATTAATAATAATATGACAAATTTGCCGATTTAAAGTAACCTAGGGGTAAATTCAGGGGTTTCATTTTGAGTTGGGTCAGGAGCCATGGCTGGTAAAGAGATCTTTCCACTCGTCCAACGAGTAAATTATAAATTTTGTCGTCAAACTTGGTGAAAGATTGAAGGATTTGCCCATGGAGCAGCTTCGTAAAAACTTGATAACAGACGGGTAAGGTGAGAGTTAGAGCAATGTCGTAGTTATCGTTCAAGTTCAAGGTTTATTCTCTCGAGGCTGTCATTAAGATTTAAAGTTGCCGGGTAAATACAACAAGTAGGCGGGGAGTCAAACAGCTAGGGATTTCTTTGGGTTCTATTTTTCTTATATTTTCCTATGAAAGTAGCTGGCCGGGAGCCACGCTCTTAGTAGCCGGTGAAATCCCCGGCCCCTGCCTCTAAATGACAACCCTGGTCTCTCTAATAAAAATAGCAATGTCTTCTTCTTAGTAATCACCTTGCGGTTACAGTCTAGTCACGTCTTGACTTCAACGTGCCAAGATTGGATTAATTACTGTTACATGTAGGAAACATTTCTAGAGTTTTCAGGATTACTTTTATAGACCAAATTTTAAGTTTTTAATCTGATTTTACCTAGTTTACTTGCAAATCTTATTATTCCTATGTTTTAGATGCTGCAAAGCTCATGATGACTGTTATGATCAAATATACAGAGAACGAATCTGTTTCTTTAGTCCCTTATGGAAGTGGTATCAACGATCTGGATGCACTCGCTGTGGTAAGCTTTGGCTGAAGCATATATTCTCAAGGAAGAGTAGGATATACTAGATAACTCTGTTAGTTTAAAATTTTCAGTGTCATTGAACTGCAGTAAAATGCATACGGTAAGCCTAGATTAAAGCCTCGCTTATGGACATGAACTGCCGGTTTTAAGTTCACCTTCCATAGGGAAAGTTGCCAGTGTTTCTCATTTACACCCCCCATCGGGGAGGTACTCCAGGGAAGTTTGGATAGAGGGGTGTCGCCGCGTCATTGAAACCCAGATCCCGAGAAAAATCGCTCATCATTGTTTTGCTACCCTGTTCCGTGACCCTGATTCATTTTATTTCGCCCAGTGAATTAAGAATTTTTTGAACTAATTTCATGGAAATAGGTTAAAAAAACAAACAAATATTGTGGTACCACTCATGTAGACCGCTCATTGCCAATCTTCACACTCTTTGTAATGCTTCCGGCCCAAAACTACAAAAATAGGTATAAATAGGTTTAACCAAACAGGGGTAAGTTGGTCATATAAGAAATAATTTTTGGTTGTGCTTTATTTCTTAGCTTCATCAAACGACAATTGTGGACGTCGAGTTTGTAAGTGCGACGGAGAAGCAGCTCGTTGCTTTGCCAGGTCAACGTATGATCAAAAGAACAAATTTAGGTGTCAGTGAGACCGAAGGAAACATTAACGTCTGGGTTTTGATCAAATAATGACTTGCAAAATTCTTTCAATAAAATTAATTGATCTGTAAGAATGAACCTGGGGTAGTCTAGAGTTAACGAAGAAATTTCTTTCGCACCATGAGAGAATAAGGGGATAATGAGCGCAACGCACTGATGAAAAAAACACATTAAGAACTTGAAAAAAATTTGACGCAACACTTTGCTTTAACGGCTGTTAAACTTCGATTAATGTTTGGCATCGTAGTGTCTTCGCGTTTAGGTGAAAGTACATCTGGATGTCATGAGAATATAAAAACAGCCGGAAAGGCTTATTACAGCACTCAGCTGATCGATTAGCGAGGTCAACTTTCAATGAGAATTGTCCGCATATTAGACGGGTTAAATAGGCCACGCCTCAGTTTCAAAGCGAGGCTATGTGCAAATCATTTATATGAAAATGATTTGTAATTCTTATGCAAATAAAACTAATTTCCACACTTAGTCTCGTTTGTAAGTGAGAGAACTCGGAAGATGATCAAGATAAAGAATATGTAAGGGCTTTCCCCAGAGACAAGGAAAACTGTCCGTAATAACGAGGTGTCAGCTGGTGTCTCTAATTCGGAGCTGTACTGTACGGCTTTCTAAACCTCTCTAAATACTTTTGTTAAATAATTTTTAAGCGACTGACAGCCAAGCCGCCCAAATACAGTCGACCTTTTGGCGTAACGTGACTTTCAGGCTTACGATATATGTATTATCAGTTGTCTCCCCTTTGCTTAAAGAAGCGAGAGTAGTATAGCAGGCACCGGTCAGACCGTTTTGAGGAGGTTGGGGCAGGAACTTTAAAGAATGAATCTCATTAAGATAAGGACCGAATTAGTGGTTTTGAAGTGGAATCTTGTAAAGCTGAAGTGGAATCAAGCACTGATGACTTCATAGCCTTGTCTTTATCTCCTGCATAAATTCATGGAAAATAGTTAAACCGGCATGACAGGTTTTAGGCAGGTGATGATTTTACAGTTTATTTTAAATTGCGTGTGTCATGCTCTCATTTGGTCATTGTGCCATAGTCTTATTTAATGTGTGCAGACCATACCCTTATTCAGCCATTTTCATGATCCATGGTTTTGGGTTTGTTTGATTCGCTGATTCATTGAAAGAAAGATATCAGCACAAAACTTCTGTCTTTTAAAGCCGCTGAAACGTAACTAGCCTGAAATTCATCCGATGGCTTCAAGTCGTTTCTCCTCTCAACAACTGAGGGAGTAATAACGACTCGAAGTAATCGGATGAAATTCAGGCTAAAACGTAACGTAATTATGCAAATTTTAATTCCTGCCGCTGTCATGGTCTTCGCGCTTATTCCATCTGGTACAAATATTGGCGAATTTTCTAGAGTTGAATTCTAAAGGACTGTATCACAGTTCAGGAGCAGAATGAGGTGCTCGTTGTCTTGTGCAGTTCACGTCCTCCACAAAACGTAAAATTAGGCAGTTTCACGTCGTAGCCGTGCAACGACGGCAAAGAAATGTCCAAAAAAGCGTTATCTATGTGCAAAGTTGTTGTTTTGCTAATCTAAACCTATTGGTTTTTTGCCGTTCTCGTTGCAGTCGCCGTCGTCGATGCTAAAGCGCCCTACGGTAGCCGACCTAGGCCACGGCCACACGAATCCGGATATTTTTGAAACCAAATACTTTTTTACACAAATCCGCCTTCCGTCCACACGAGACCAGTGAATCCGGACACCGAAACCACATTGTTTTGAAACCGCTCTCCAGAGAGGTTTACGGCCCCGTCCAGACTAGTCTGTTAGTGTTGTCACGCAACGCTCCTTTGTGGGAAGGAGCGTTGCGTGACGACACTAAAAACGTATGTATAGCAGACTACGTCCAGACGAATCGGGATAGTTTTTAACAGTGTTGAAACCGCATACTTTATTACACGAATCGGCCTTGCGTCCTCACGAAACCAGTGAATCCGTACACACTAGTCTGCTGCACAGCCATTTTTAGTGTCGTCACGCAACGCTCCTTTGTGGGGAGGAGCGCTGCGTGACGACACTAAAGACGGATGCGTAGCAAACTATGTCCAGACGAATCCAGATAAAATATGCGGTTTCCAAAATGTTCGGACTCGTGTGGCCTTATTGTCTTGCTGACGCGAAGATTGTGCATAGTAAAAAGGGTGAGTCAAAGAGAGCCTGATTACCATTTTTTGCCAGATTGACGTTTTGCAGAAACAGCTAATCAAAATCACTAACCTTACCGTTACTCACTTTACTGAGAAATTGTTTTCACTCGATGATTGTGCGGAGCGAGGCCAACGTCAAAGTAGGAAGCTGGTGAGAAGCGCGCGAGAAAATCAGGCAATTGGTTGAAAAGGTAAATTGGCCTCTGTCAGGAGCCTATGAGTAGCAGCAAGCAACTCCCACACTAGGCCTATGTCACGGCGTTTTTACAGACCAGTTTATTTTTAGACACATTTTAGGGCACTTTTTCCCCGCGAAAATAGAATCTTCACCATGTCTATGAGCGCATTCGAAGAATAAGATATCAAGAAGGAAAATTAAACGTCATTAAAAGGCAAAAATATCATTTTCAGGTCTGTAGGTTTTGCTGACTGGTTTGTGGAATTTAAAAGATATTCAAAATTCGCCCCAAAATCGTTCTTAAAAGCATGATATGTGAAAACGCCGTGACAAGCCGTGCTCGCTCCGGGTTATGGGCTCCTGCCTCTTTCGTCGCACAAGTCGTGAGCGTGGCTGATTTATTCCCATTTAGCTTTCTCCAGTTTTTTTTTTTTTTTCATTTTTCGACGATTAAATTAAATAGAGTAGAATGTTTCCTCCTAAATCTTGACTTCATGACATTTTTTTTTATTTCGCATTTGTGTAAAATTTCTTTTTCGACATGACTCAAGTAATTACTAAAGAATTGGATCTGCTACAGCTTCATAAATACAGCCTTCCTTGTAAGGTTCTTTATATGTCATCTTTCATCCAGTACGCTGGGATTAAGAGCGAACATTCTAAGCATGTCTTTTTCTAAAAAGTGCAAGTGTCCTGGAATAACAAGCGAGTGTAACGGTGGACCAAGGTCATGTGATAACAGTTCCTCCATAGTGCCGCATACTATCCTTTGATTGGTTGATCCAACTCGTGCCAGGCCCACTGCAACTGATGCACCTGTGTAAACTACCAAACACAACGAGGAATTAAGACTAAGGACTTACCTAGTCTCTAAGCTTTATTAGGGACTTCAAGATCCAACGACGCGACGGCAACGAGAACGTCGCTTAAAAAGTGAATTTGCATTCTTTCAGTCTTTATAGCGATTATTCCTACACACTTACTTTGTCAAATGTAAGCAAACCCGCCTGAAGTTGAATTTCAAGCGACCCTATCCAGGCTCAGAAAGACATTGAAATAAAATTTCGTCGTTGTTTGTTTACGTCCTCCTTAAAACACAAAATAAGGCAATTTCACGTCGTAGTCTTGCAAAAACGGGAAAAAATGTTTAATAAAGTGTGATGCACGTGGGAAGTTGTTGTTTTGCTTGTTAAACCTATTGCTTTTTGACGTTCTCGATGTCGTCTGCGTCCCTAAAGTCCTTACTATATCGCGCGACCACGTACAAGGACTACGCAAACACAGAACGGGGGAAGACATGAACAAAGCTGCGGGCAGTAAAAAACAATACAAAGAGAACAAAGGGCGGTAAGATATTTTCCGCATTTAGCTCTCCCTAAGAAAGAGTCTATTTTACAGAAATGCCCGTCTCATAGAGAGTCAACTAAAAGGAGTAAAGAAAGGCAGGGACTAACTCTAAATTAAGGGGACAGGGGGAGAGAGAGAGAGTACACTGTATCACTTGTACTAAATAAATATTTATAAAATAATAAATATTATTTTAGTGGTAGCATATGTACAAAGTAGCTCTTGTCTACCAATTAAGAAATGCTGATTTTTTTTAGGAGAGGTGGAAAACTGGGGTACCCGGAAAAAATGGATTCAACACCATTTACAGGAGTCTCATAAGACTACTTCAAGTCTAACTGCCAATAGACCAATTTTTCTGCCTGTGGGTTGCCAGCTTTACGCGTACCTGGTTCTTCTCCTTTTAAATCCCTGGTCTTGGGAATTTCCAGTAACTGTTTCACAGCCTCGTTCACGCTCATATACCGAGGTGGCTCATATACTTTTTTGCCTCTGAAAATGTTCATAAAAAAATCTTTATTACAATCACATTTTTCACTGTTCACAGTCCCCTAATTTTCCATAACATCGTTGAGAACGAGTGCTTACCGTCACGGGAGGTCATCTTGGTTTCACAGGTACCGAGGGGGAGGGGAGTGGGCGTTGGGGTTTATGGTGGTGGGAGAAGGGAGGGGAGAAAAAAAGCCTCCTGCCAAACGGTCCCCGCCCCTTAATAGTGGAGTATGGGCAATACGTTCATCAACCCAAATGCCGTTAGGCAGGTTTACACACTACAATTTGTCTGCTCAAAGAAACGGTCAATTTACACGCTACAATTTCTTGAGAATCTCTTTGCCCTAAAGAAATTCGCCAATAATATAATCGGCTTAAAATTCAGCCAAATTGCAAAAAATTCAGTTCACGCCAAACGGTATAGTTCACGAATCTTGAGACTTAATAGCCTACGTTCGATATATTAAAATTCTAACATGAATCCGAGGCTTTCTGGTCATTTTTGTACACTTGGTTTGGTTTTCTTTGTACTCAAGTCTGTCCTGGGAATTGCGAGACAATGGAATCGTGAAAAATTTAGCCTCAGAGCAAGGCAGAGTCATGTTAGAATTTTAATAATTATATTGAACCTGGGCTATTCCGAAACCGCTTTCACCAGCACGCAATTTCGAGAATGACAAATAACTTTTTAATCAATCACATTTCACGAGAAAAAAAACAGCCCCAACCACACTTCGCAAAAAGGTAGAGGGGATCCTCTTATAATTATGCAGCTCTGTTTAAGGTGCTTATAAGCAAAAGGATGGTTCAATGGCTTAGAAGGTTGCAAGATCAAATTAATTAAGTAACTCAACCCTTTGTCTCCAGTCCTAATTCCCTTTTATCCTTGTTTGTGTTTCTAATCTTTAAGCTCAAACTAATCAATAACTTTTACCTCATTAAATTTTCCATGGATTGCTCCTTTACCTTTATGTCTGCAAGACAAAATTGGACTGGTATTACATATAAATGCACAAAGGCCGAGCAGTTAGAGATATGGACTTGTAAATCAAGAGGCTCCGAGTTCAAATCCCACCCTGACCTCTAGCTGGATTTGTTCCCAAGTTTTAATCCTTGGCCATGCCTGCCAGCTAGTAGCAAAAAATGGGGTTTACAAAAATAGCAATAAAAAAGGCTAAAACATGAAAACTGAATTACAAAACCGTCAGTTCTTGAGAAAAGCAAATTTCTCCTTTAATGGAGAGATGCATAAATGACCTACCCAATAAGCAGAGAGTATGAAGGCCTTGTTTCTTATTTGCTGCGATTTTATCATAGAAGCTGTCTGGTTTCCATGTGTCTGTCCACAGAACTATGGACACTGTCTCACCAAAGTTGTATAGCTAATGTTCATAGCAAAGAAACATTCAAGTTTAAACTCAACAAAATTCCAAATTTCCTAACGAAAACATAGCATTGAAATACGTAATGAAGCAAAATAAACAAGCACTGTCTATTAAATCTGCAAAAGATACATCTTGGAGCTACTGCATCCCTGATCACCATGTATGTATGCCGACCAAACAACAACAAATACAAACAACATCTCAAGCATGAAATGTAAAATACAGACCAGTTCCTCTAATATCAGTTATTTTGGGCTTATCATTATTTTTTCAGAATTGCCTAGCTAGAACACTCCAGTCAAGAGAATTCTACTGTTAATCAGGACTGTCCAGCCAGATCAATCAATTTCTAAAATAGTGTGCACAGCAGAGACAGGTAACGGGAAATTCTCAGAACAGACTAAAATTTCAAAAAGACCAGCCCTGCCGGCCATTCTGACAAATGTTTCCCTTAATAAGGTTCTTTTTTTATCATGTCACCGACATTGTTGGATCAATTAAGGTTTCAGGGTAACTGACCACCTACCCCTCCCTAAGTCACAATTTTGCTCTAAGTGAGAGTTAAGTGTTAATGTTGACTTAGGGGAGGGGTAGGTGGTCAGTTCACATTGTCTTGGTTATGGTAATACCTCTCACCTGAAGTCCACAGCATCCCACAGCATTCATGATGGAAGCATTATGGATAACTTGATATGGGATGTTTAATTGGTGTGCTCGCAGAACAAGGTCAGTGTGTGTTGTGGCACTATGAAAAAACACAACACATGCACTGACAAGAAACAGTTCAAAAGCAACATGGTATAGAAACTAGAAATATGTGAATTGCAGAACCTTGCAAACAAAGGCTAATGGTCCAAATCGCTTCCATTTTCTCTTGAAAGTATTTTTCACCTGCCTTTGAAATTCATCACTAAAAGCACATCTTGACCTAAAACAGCTGCTAAAACTTGCCACGGTTTTGTTAACTCACTGCTTTGTTGCTAGGCAACTGCAGATTCCCACACCAATAGAAAGAAATGGCCAAAGCAAGATCACACTTCACTTAGCGATCCTTGTGGGAGTCACATGCAATGCAAATTCTGATAAGATAATAAACTACACATATGAGTAGAATAAATATGCATGTTAGCTAGAGTGATTTCTTATGATGAAGGATGAAAATCATTCCCCTGAGAGGTACATGTGCTGAAAACAAGTAACTTCTATGAAAAGATGTCAAACATGCATACTCACCCAAATGGATCTCCAACAACCAAGAAGGCAACATCTTTATTATTAGCATGCTCCAGAATAAGATCTAGAAATGAGAAAATAGACAGTGTGTTTCTTCTTTTTCTCGTGCCTTGCACCTGTTATCATGTTTCTGGCTTGCTCTTGAGCATGAGTGAAGCATGCATGGTTCACCAAATTTGTTTTAATAAAAATGTTTGAGAACAGGCTATGTTTGGGTCATTCACCTATGGTTCAAATAGCTAATCAATAATCACTATCATTGATCTTAGCATCAAGAGCTACATTGAATTGCTCGAAAATTTCTAACTTACTTTTAGCAGGGATAGATTCAAGGAAGTGATTTTTTCCCTAGTATACAGATCTTGGATCCTAACATCTCGCTGTTAAAAACATGGCATTTGTCTGAATCACATGGACTTGCCAGTTAACATGGTGAATGAATGAATGATAATTATTATCCATGATATGGAATTAATGAATATCGCTAAATAAATATCATTATCCAGTGAATGGCCACACTATTATAGAAAACAATAACTAGCTAAACATGACAAGTTATTGGATAGTACAAGTCCTTACCAGAATTTTGCTCCACTGTTTCCCGGTCAGCTAACTGTATTTTGCGCCCATAAAATTCTTCCTGTGATGAAATAATATTAATTTCAATGGGATGTACAAAAGGTACTTACTCGTACTGTATCCCAAAATGGGTTGGATCAACACTCGAAAACCCTATTCATAATCTTTTGTCATATCTGATCCAAGTTTTAGTCATGTCTTGTAATTTGCCACGGGGGGAGGGGGGAGGGTGCTCCCTGGTGATAGGCTAATGGGAATTTGGCACTAGATGGGGTCACCTTTTTTATGGTTAGATTGACTATAATGTGGAAGTGTGTGTGGCCAAGTGGTTCATCTCTCAAACTCTGGATCTGGAGGTCCGGGGTTCAAGCCTCACCCATCGCCTTGTTTCCTTAGATAAGGAACTATACTCCACTAACTGTTTCTCTTCATCCAGGTTAATAAATGGGTACCGGCAACATACTGCAGTGGGGTAACCCAGTGATGGACTAGTATCCCATCCAGGGGAGAATAGCAATACTCCTAGGCATGCTTCATTCTAAGGAAGCTGGAATAAGATCCAGCCATTTGGACCTTTGGCTCGTGTATGCCTTTACCTTTTTTTAACTATAGACTATAATGGGTTTAATTTTCAATAGAGTAACTAAGTTGCACACCTTCAGTATTGGGGGATAAGAAAAATCAGGGATAAACATAATTTGTTAATTCATTTTAGGATGACCCAGCTGAGGCTTTATAAGGCAGAGGTGACCTAAGCTGGAATCACAAAAATCACATAATTCCCCAAAAGTAACTAGGATGGGGTCTATCATTGGCCACACAATTGAATATAATTGCTAGGGTAGTGGTTCAAAGAAGCCAGTGACAAATACCCACTAAAAACTGACCCAACTACCCCCCCCCCACCCCCACCCCTACCGAGGTACTACACGAGCTGACTTTATCAGGCCTTTTGCATTAGTTGGTCACGTGATCAACTTTCGATAAACATGAAAACAGTTCACTTTTGACAATTTTTGTTAGCACAAGCTGAAAGAGCATGTTAAAATTAGGTAACTTGCAAATTTCCAGCCGTATATCTTAAAAGTAGTGATTACAACGGCTGCCAAAAATTAGAAGGATTTGTATGAAAAAAATAACTTTTGCCACCCAGTCACGCTTGAATGGTACTCCATACAAATTCTTGTAAATTTCAAATTTTTCAAACTTTCGTGAAATATTTCCTTAAGCATTACGGGGCTCAAATCTGCTTTTAATTCATAACAGGCAATTTGAGCCCTTAAATGCATAAGGGAAAGATTTAACGACAGTTTAAAAATTTCAGAAATAAGGAGTTGTATGGAAAACCATTCAAGCGTGATTGGGTGACAAAAGTTGTTTTTCTCATACAAATCTACTTTTGAGAAATACGGCTGAAAATTTACAGGTTATCTAATTCTAATATGCTTTTTCAGCTTGTGCTAACAAAATTTTTCAAAAGCGAACTGTTTTTATATTTACTGAAAGTTGTTCATGTGATCAACTAATGCAAATGACCTTTTTAGTCTACAAATAGTTGTTCACTTGCCCAAATATATAAAACCATGTGGTGCTAAAACAACCAGTTAGAACCAACCATTGTTTAGGGTATATCTTAGGAGCTGGATCTATATAGAGGACTTTGTTTTTCAGAGAAGTACATTTTATGGACAAGAAATGGAGAAAATATAAATAGTTTTTGTGTAGCTCCTGGTCAGCTCCATTGACAGTGGTTTATGTGGCAGAGATGAAGCAAGAAGTTAAGCTTTTGATGCAAGATGACACATCATACTGTTGCTGAGAGTTGGTAGGGTACACAAAATCCCTTTGGATAAATCATTGATAACCATAATAAAAAAATAAGCGTCCTTCAACGTATGCTTTGATTGTTCTTTTGGTCATGTTCAAGTCAGCCACAGAGCATTTTTATGAACTTTACATACCAGAACTTCTTGTCCAACACATAAAATTGATGTGTATGCCTCTAGAAATACATAATCTGCTCTCTTTACTATTTCAAGCCCTTTTACAGTGATATCCTTGGCATCTCCAAGCCCGAGACCAACGAGATAAAGCATGTTTCTCTTGGTGTTGCACAAGGACTGGAACTAGAGGATATTTTAGTTGTTCATACATGAAGTCCTAGTTGGCTGGCTCTCCTCGTGTTATGAACGATGGTGAGAAAACTCAAGTTTCACGAGAAAAAACTTCTCAGAAAGGTCGACTTCATATCATGGAAAAGTGACAATAATATCCGTGAGGTGAAAGTTCTACGAAAGTATCACATTCAGAAGAGGGAAGACTATACAAAATACAACAAAATTTGTGGTATGGTGAGGTCTCTTGCCAACAAAATTAAACAGCTTGAGCCGAAAGATCCATTCCGAATTGAAGCTACTGAGCAGCTCTTGGAAAAGCTGTACTCTCTTGGCTTAATTTCAGCTAAAAAGAGCCTGTCTTTATGCGAAAAGCTGAATGCCTCTGCACTTTGTCGGCGTCGTCTTGGAGTTGTAATGGTTCGTCTACGTATGGCACAAGCTGTAAAAGATGCAGTTAAGTATATTGAACAAGGTCACGTGAGAGTTGGGCCGGAGGTCATTATGGACCCGGCTTTTCTTGTTACAAGAAACATGGAGGACTTTGTGACATGGACGGATACATCAAAAATAAGGAAGCATGTGATGGAGTACAGTGATCTTAGGGACGACTATGACTTATTATGATGAAATAATGAGCATGTGTTAGTTGGTAGACTGCAGTGTATGCCAAGGTGATGAAAAACAACAGACTGCTCACAGTCTAGATGACAGGAAATAAACTGTACTGCTTGTTTGTTTCAAACTAGCGAACAAATTACAATGGACAATGCTGGTTTGTTTATTCAAAGTCATTTGTAAGTTACATACATGTAACTGGATATTATTAGAGGAGTTAAGTCGCTTATACAGTTACCATATTTATTCAATTAAACGCCGCCCTCAAATATATAAATGCCACTCTCGATTAAATGCCACAGATGGAAGCAAAACTACCAATGAACGTCGTCCTCGAATAAATTCCCCACGTCATCAGAAGAGTGCGGTGTTTACTCGAGGATAATGAGAAAATACTCGGTACAACTTAGCAACTTACACCATCCAGTCACTTACTATTCTATCTCAGCAAAATAAGAGAGACATTGGAAGCTTTGAAATACATAATACTTACAAATGATTTACAGTAACTGTGGTCAGTGATTTAAAAACAAAATGATTTCGAAATAAACGCCACCCTGGAATAAATGCTGCCCTTGAATAAATGCCGCACCCGAAATGCCAAATATTTAATAAATGCCGTAGCGTTTAATTGAATAAATGCGGTGGTTGTTTAGACTATATTAAACATCATTGTGATAGTTATTAGGGACCTTAAAATCCAATGTCAGGGACAGTAACGAGAACACACACAAAAAAAACAGGTTTAGATTGGAAAAGAAAAGCATTGTGTTTGTGCGTTGTGCTTTTTTGTACATTTCTTTGTCATCACTGCATTACTATGACGTGAAAATGCCCAACTTCACATTTTATGGAGTGACAATGAAGTTTTCTTTCTCTTTCGCTGAACTTGGATATGGTTACTAGAAATTCACCTCCAAGAGATTTTGCTTGTTTAATACATTGACAAAGTAAGTGAGGTTGGAATAACTGCAATGAAGATTGAAAGAATGTCAATCCACTTTTTCAGGCTCATTTTATTCCTAGGGTTGGGTACTTTAGAAATTTTGGGGTGGGGATGTGCCGCTGGGACTCTGGAACCCTTAGCCTATACCACAGCTAGTGTAGCTGAATTTTGCTATCCCATACTGGACTAAACCCCCCAAATCCTCCCTATCCTAGAAGAGGATTTTTGACAGTTAAACTGCTTGAAACCATACCTTTGACAGAGGCCTATACCACCCTTGGGCATTTATCTACTCAACCTCTTTCCCAGGGCTTTTTGCCTTAAAAAATGGGAGGGGTCACCCCTTCCATTTTTAAGGGAAAAAGCCCTGGGAACGAGGTTGTTATCTACTGTCACCGTTCTCAGATCTTAAGATCCCCACCATTGGTTAAGTCACAGGGAGAACTCAATTATCAACATCATCTTGACACAGCCTGCAAACACAGACACATTAACTTTTTAAGAGGAGAGACTTCCTTGTGCATTTTTGAAGCTCTTTTATGATCCTTGCACTGTGACTGCCTTCAGAAATCTAAAGAAGCACCTGGATACAAGGTTTGTGAAGAGAAGCGACACTCAGAAAGATGTCTGTGTTTGACAGCTACTCTTTGCTTGGCTTAGTGTATTTAAAACAATATCAACTACACTGGATTTGTCTCTTTAGCATGCCATTAAAAATGGTTTACACAGTCGAGAATGTCAAACATTTAACAATTTGGAATTTGTTTTTACTGTCTTTGAGTGAGGATTATGGAAAAAGGTCTCTTGCCTTTTAATAAACAGGTTAGTGAAGTGAATGATTTTTATCTACAGAGTCATGGTTTGAAGACCTCGATGGCACACCTCTAAGCAAGCTCTCCTTGAGTCACCCATTCCCAGGGGTTGTTGCATAACTGTTATTCTATTTATAGTAAAAATAATACAATTATTGATTAGTTTTAATTAGAAATTATTATTTTTTATGGCATGATAAGCAAAAATGCTACATTTAACATTTTGAATTTTTCATTCCCAGCTGCCTGTGTAACTGACTACTTGTCCGGACTGAAAAAAATCACCTTTTTCTTATGACCTGCAAAAAGGCAAAACAAACTCTACCAAACATCACGAAAAACCATTATTCACAATATTATTTGCTTGCAAAACTAAGATTTTTGAAAGCATTCAGAACAGTTTCAACATTCGAATTTGTGGAAAAAACTTAATCGTGGTGCCCACGTGAGTTCGTGGTTTTAGCGTCCCGCCCCAATCACCCCCACTTCAAACCCTTCAAAAATATTGGACAAAAGGTCAAACTTGTAGAGTTTGTTTAGAAAAATAACCGAAATAATAATAGCGTTAGCCAATTTATGTATTGAAAAGACGTACTAATGGCCCGTGTCAGTTAAGAATTAACCTAATTTTTGTCTATTGAAAGCCCGCCTTGCGTGTTTTCAGTGTTTTGACTACGGTAGGAATGGCCTGGAGAACGTGCCGATGTGAACACCTCGATCGCACTATAAACCCTGAACAACGATCCTGAAAACCGCTTGGATTTACATTGGAAAAAATAAACAAGACGATACATAAATTAACAATAATTGTTGGAGAAAGCTCCTCCCCTTGATCTACAAATAAGAAACCAGCTTTGGTCTCGAGGGAGTACACAGTGATTTGTGTCCTGGAACGACCTTCATTAGACAAGAAAACTCGTACAAGACAAGTTTCTTTGAAAACAGGTGACAATAGGTGCTTGCAAAGGAAAGAGGAAATATCGAAGGATATAAGTCGTTGTTCTGTTAAGAGCATAATAAGGTAAAATAGATCACATCCGACATCTGACAGGATTCTTAAAGGATATTAATAGCTTGCTGGGTTTTGACAAAACATTTGCAGCACAACATTTTTCCCTCGGGCAACCAGACGATTCTTTAATGTTGTTGGGTAGAAAAAGCATGTTTTTGGCTTGTTTATTCAACGATGACTCTTTGTGATGTACTTTTGTCTTCAAATTTCCCCCACAGCTGTTACAGTAAGGAAAGCTGCTTCGGATTCCTGTCGCGCTACATTTTCTTCCAAGCCCTGCCATGCCGTTGGCGAAGAAAGCAGCAAAGAATGATATTAGTAAGTCCACGTCTTCTACATTTTTAACTCCAAGAAAGTTGTTTGAATCAGAAAAAACACACAAATTTCACTGCCTCTACAGTAATTATTTCACTAGGCTCGACTTATACCCAGAAACTTGGCAATAAACATTAACATTCCTAAGGTGACCGCCGGCCATTTTGACGTCAGAAAAAACACAAATCTATCATGTGGTTTTGTGAATTATGCAACGAAGCGTCTTTCATTCAGCGTCGTTTTGGACCATACAGAGTTTTCTGTGCCTCGCTTTTCACTGTAGGAGCTGAAGATGAGCTCAAGAACCATCGCCTAGTAGATGTTTTGTAGAATGTTCATTGTTCACGACGCCCGCATAATGGTACCGTGATGTGATGTGTGTCTTTGGGAAATGATTTGAAAGCTGTAAATATAATCTTACTCATCAGGGCTCTCTTTGTCGTTTTATCCCTTTTCACTGCTGGAATTCTGCGATGTTTATGATTCTCTATTAGCATTCCTAGGGTATTTTGCAACACATGTCTAGTACATTATGAAAAAGTCGTAAATATTGATTCTACAGAAGTACTTCGATGACGAAGTTGTAACTTCAGGATTCTCTTCTTACACACGAGGAAAACACTTTAATTGATTTGGGAAGTATTTAATCTCAATTATCCAGACCAGCACTTACCACTACAGAGATTTCGTTGTTTACTTTAAGACAAAAATGGCCCTTAAAAAGGTTTCCTTGGATCTAAATGGATCTATGGCTTGTGCTTTGACATTTGTTTGTAAACTTCTATTCTGTGTTGCTTAGAGAATGTGTCATTATAAATGAAATGTAATTACTGACAAAATTTACAAGTTGCCTACATCAGGTATCAAATTCGGTAAGTGCCATAGTGTATTGCAGCCCTCGGGCAGTACATTGAAATGTCCATAAATTATATAATTTAAGAGGTCAAAATGACAAACAAATTAGTTATAGCTAGGCCGATCACGTTGGCTGCTAATTATAGAAAGATAGGTGAGGATCTTGTGTTGAAGCATTTCTTTTTACATTTATATAAAAAATGTATCCGTTCTTGGCTTAAAAATAATCAAATATTTTTTCTGTGCAGGAGCTTGTAATGTTCCTTTATAAATGTTTTCCTTTTTCATAAAAATTTTTGCCTTAATTTTTAAATTTACTCAGTATTTATCTTTTAAGTTTTACCTCTCTCGATTCTATTCAATCACCTTTTTTAACGTTAAACCCTTCAAGAAGTGTACAGTTATTCATCCTCCAAGGTCACTAGTGTGATGACTTAAATCTGATTTAGCTTTAGTTTGTGCTCCACAGAACTGACACATGGAACAAGGTGCATGCATGTAAAATTAAATTAAGCCAAATTTATAGCAAATGTTTGATAATGTTGCTTTCCACCAACATCCATTTTTCCACATTTTTCTGACCTTTAGTTTGCCATCATTTTCTTACTTGCACCTTGTAATAAATCTTTGTGGAGGCTGTGGCCTAAATTTGCATAAAGAGAAAAGTAACATTTTTTCAAAGCACTAAGAATTAATTGTAAAAGAAGCATTTTTCTGGACTGCAGCTATACAATAATATAATTATGAAAAACATATTTTCATGAATTAAATGATACTTAAGGTTTTTGATGATTTGATAATTGTCTTATTTCATACTAATAGGGTCCAGACAAGTTCAATGTTCTAGTGTGAACATTATTTTTATCCTTAAAAATTATTTTTCTCTGTTAACACCTTTGAAAAATGTCGTATTCCTCGTAAACCAAGGTATACAAATTTGTTGGAATTTACATGTATGTTATGCTTATGGTCTGCTCAGGGTGGAAGTTCACATTTGTGTATTGGGCTGGTTTCTCCCAGTTACCTAGCAACAAAACCTGTCAAAGAATCCAAGACAATCAAACTGATTGAACTTACTTGGATGTCTTTGTATGGTGAAATGTTTCCACAAGTCACTTTCAAGATTTTTTTGACCACATCTTGAATTTCAAACCACTTAAGAATTATGGCTATTTTTTTAAATGGTGTGTCCAATTGAAGTCAGTTTGCTTGTTTTATTCATCACAACAAAACTTCCACCTTTCCTGCTCTAGGTTGCCAGTTTAAATCATGTTGGTTGTTTCAGGGGCGGATCCAGGATTTTTTTTAGGAGGGGGTGCACTCGTCTCTTGCTCTACTTCAACACCAATAAACCACATAGTTTTTTTTTTCAGAATACCAGTTGTATTTGAAAACCGCAGGTCATCTCGAGAGGGGGGGGTGCGCACCTCCTGCACCCTCCCCCTAGATCCGCCCCTGTGTTTCTTTCTTTTTTTCTTTTCTCTTGTTTTGGCTTTTTTCCCTTTCTTACATACTTTTTGAGTGTCTGGAGGTTCTTCAAGAAATGTATTTCTACCATAAAAATAGACTGACTTTATAGGAAAAGTTCAAAGGTGCTAAAATTTTTTGAAAGAAATTTTTTTAAAAATTTTTGAAAGAAATCAGGAGTCGGGCCTGAGAAAACAGCTGACATTTGGTGATACTACCACTGGTTTCCCCACCACATGACGTCTGAAACGAGCGCCAAAATTCCATACTGATGACGCGTCACTACCCAGATCTGGGTAGTGCTCCTGATTGGTTGTGTCGCATGGGAAATTTGATTCAACCAATGAGAAGCACTACCCAGATCTGGGTCATTTGGCAGGGCAAACCAGTGGTAGCATCGCCAAATGTCGGCTGTTTGCTCAGGCTAGTATATTTTTAACAGTGGAAATAAAAAAATCTGATTGGGCTAGGTTTTGTCTGTAAAAAAAAATGTTGGTACAAGGAAGGATGTTCAAAAAGTACTGCTGGGGAACAAGCCTGTGTGTGGTCATCTCGGGTACACTTGCTGCTGAGAAATCTGTATTTAACAAAGGTTTTCATTCAGACGTTCACCGGTCTGACATGTATGATTGAAAATTTTCTGGCAATTCTCCTTTGTTCGTCATTCACCTGGAGATTTCCGAAAATCTCCATATTTAGGTGTTTCCGTATGTTTCTTTTACTGGCGACCAATAAAAACGCGTTGTTTTGTAAACGTCACAGGTCTCTCTTCGGCGCCCGGACCTTGTCTGTTTCTTTGATACCAGCTCAAAAAACTGAAGAAGATCGAGAGTTTTTCAGGCAGAACTTTTTGGGTTGGCTATCATTATTTTTGGCCACTCTGAGAGAATCGAAGTAGTTGGTATTGTTGGTTGCCCGTTGAGTCATGGGCAACGCTCCAGCGAAGAAAGGAGACCCAGAAAATGGTATTATAATATTCGCGGGGGCATCTGTTATTACACTCACCCTTGAGAAAAACCTACTAAGCTTGTGTTTTTGTTGTCTTATTTTATTTTTTCCTGCAGTTAAAGCTTTTCTTACTGAGGCAAAGGAAGAATTCAATGCAAAATGGGAGAGACCATCTCAGGTAAGGCTTTCTCGCTACGAATTGTAGTATTATACTGTCGCATCCTCCGTTCGCTTTTAACTGAAAATATATTCATCTTTCTGATGTGCGCGCTTTTGTTGGGTGAGACTTGTAAATTACTTTAAACGGTGTTCTTTCCTTTTGAGATCTTGTCACTAACAACCCGTGCTTGAATCTTAGTTTGGCTTGTCGGTCCTATTTTGTAGTTGTAAGATTTTTGTATTTCAAGGTCGGCCAAGTTGCTTTGTCACGAAGTATTTTCTATATTGATTTTCATGGTGTCGCTCATGTCATGTCTGTTTGATGCTTACAGAATACGGCTAGTTTGGATGAGTTTGAGCGTCTCAAGACCCTAGGTACTGGATCATTTGGTCGAGTTATGCTGGTACAACACAAGAGCAGCTCAAGATACTACGCCATGAAAATTCTGGACAAGCAAAAGGTAATCTGAGGTTTATTATGTTGAATTTTTGAACGGGGTTTTGCGAGGATTTCGATTAGAGAGGACTGGCGCAGTATGTCGGTTTTATTAGTTTAACTTATGTGCAAAAGTATTACTCCCGACCTCTGTTTCGAAGCGTCAATCTTTCGAGGATTAGACAAAAATATTAAATAAGGACGATTGAATCCTTGGAAAACGAGATCTCCGTTTCCTCGAATTTCTAAATTTGAATGGCAGATAAAAGACTTCGCTTTAACAACAACAACCTGTTCGTTGATTTATTCTGAATGTCTGTTACGAATAGCTGTGTCTTATTTTAAGATATGAAAGTAAAAATTCAATGAATCTGGGCGCTATTTTTTGAGTTTCGCATCTTGGATTACTTCTTCTTTCTTGTAGACATTGAATTATTACATTCTTGGTTTGCACTGTTCATTGGTTTTTGTAATCTCAACTTAGACATGGGCACCATTTTTTATGTAACAGGTGTTATAACGAATTAATAATCTTGAACTGGGTGTAGCATAGAATTCGTACGATCTGCTTTAATTTTAAGGTTGTCAAGTTATAGCAAGTTGAGCACACGTTAAACGAGAAGAGAATCTTGCAAGCCATCACCTTCCCATTCTTGGTGAATCTGGAATGGCACTTTAAGGTTTGTTTCTGCAAAGATATTGGCTAACATCATGCTACTAAGCTTATTCCCCGATCTGTTTTTCCATTAAATTTGAACTGAAATACAACCTTTTTAAACTCTAACTCCTTAAGTCACTTATTAAAATTATCTGCATTATTATTGTTGACAAAATAACACGGACGTGTTAACATCATTTGAGAATGTTTTGATTATGATGTCCTTTTGTTGAAGATACTAAGATTTTGCAACACCCACTTGCAATAGAATGATATAAGTTTTATAAGTGAAAAATTGTTGAATCTTTTAGATAAGCCTGGAATACCATCACCACTTTTAGTTTTGTAGGGTATTCTACTCATTCCTTACTGTCAATGAAATTCTAATTTAAATATTGTTGCAACAAAATAATAACAATATTTGGTGCAAGTCTTGGGTATCGGTTGTAAGAGGCCAAGGTTGGTTTCAACATAATCATCATTGCTTGTCTGGTGAATGATTTTATCCAGGTATAACATTTATAAAACTTTAATATCAGTAAAGCATTTTCTTTACATTCTATGACAACGTTATCACCCCATGCCTGCCACTTTTAACATTACTTCATCTTGTACAACTGTTGTGTCTATTGTAATAACCTTCTGACACTTGCATTGTTATGTTGTCCCCTTTCCTTTAAGGTGCCTGTAAGTAATTGTCAATTTGCTCCATTGTAAGCTAATACTTTGAATATGGTTATTGATATGCCTCAGTAAATTCCTATCCAGGATAAGAGGAATATTTTGATTAAAGAAGTTGCCTAGAAGTACACGTGTTAATTTTAGTGAATATCCATGCGGCTATCTAACATCAGCAAAACATCAGTTACCAAGTAAGACATCACAGACAGGGTTCATACAATCTTGAAAAGGTCTTGAATTTTAGTAGTCATCTTGAAAAGCCCTTTAATTCTCTTGAGGTCCTTGAAAAGTACTTGATTTCTTTATTAGGTCTTGAAAAATCCTTGAAATTTGTCTGCACCAGACGCCTTTTTCTGTAAAATTAGATTATTTTGCCAAGGAAAATTTGGCTCATCGTCGGTGTAAGAACCTGTAAAACTCACGAGGAATGTAAAAACATTTTTGTGCATGAACAATATGTTATTTCTGTTTCTTTATTTCAAATGCCATTTCTGTACATCAGACGCATTTGCAAGTCATACCCTTGTTTCGGAAAATAGTATGAAATAATGTGATCAATGGTGGCCAAAGAGGTAGAATCATAAATGACTCTGTGACGTGTTCTAGCCAGTAGGGTGATCAAAGGGGGTCAAAGAAAACTGTAACTGGTCCTTGAAAATGAAAAGTCCTTCAAATATTGTTTGTCTGAAGTTGTACGAACCATGCAGACATCTCTTGCTTGTTTGTTTAGATATCAATTAATGGTGTCTTTGCCACCACTACACTATAGCCATATTTTCAAATGTGCTCTCTTTTGTTTGTAGGATAATTCCAACTTGTACATGGTGTTGGAGTTTGTGCTTGGGGGAGAAATGTTCTCTCATCTAAGACGCATTGGTAGATTCAGGTGAAATATTTATTTTTTTTTATGAGAAGGCATGAACAGGGTTTTGTGTGCTCTGACATCGCCTACTTCCCCCCTGGGTGACGATCAACCTGATTTCAGTGTACCGCACACCTCAAATCTGCATAGCTCAAAATACTTCTCTTGATAATATTATCGTAATATCCTCAAGCTCTGAACCAACTGTAGAGCAACTTATGTATTCATATGGGTTTTAAATGACATAACTTAGCAAGGTTGTGGTGATAGCTGTAGCCGCCCTAGTGCCCAGTCCTCACCTCAACCTCGTACAGTCTTCTGGGCTTTTTAATTTTCACAATCCTTTGTTTGGGAACATTGTGAAGAATACAGCTATTAAAACAACATTCACAGGAAAATGCCCTTTTGTTGTCTTTTGTTAAACACATGGCAAAATTGTTATAAGGCGTGTGAGAAAGGGCTCTAATTTGGGACTAGGCCAGAAGCAATTGCGGCTACTAGTTAAGGACCACTGGGATATAGCTGAGGTTGAGCACTGGAGGGTAATTCTTTGGTGGTACGTGGAAAAGTATACTTACATTTTCGTTATTTTTCTTTTTCAGTGAAACCCACTCAAGGTTCTATGCATCCCAAATTGTGTTGGCTTTTGAGTACTTACACTCACTAGATCTTATATATAGGTACTGCTTTCAAATCTTCTACAGGAGGCATTTTAAACTTATATTAGTACACACTTTATGCAGAGGGAACACTTCATTTCACATCCAATGAACTGTGTTTATACAGCGTTTCCCAACTTTTTTTGCTCATTCATGAATTTTTCTTGCTTAGGGATCTCAAACCAGAGAATCTTCTGATCGATGAAAAAGGTTATTTAAAGGTGGGTACGAAAACTAAATGATTTTGTTATGATTATTCAGGCCAAATTTTAGGAAGAGATGTGGCATAACATCTTCTGCATGTGCCTAGTTGAATGAGTGGGTTATGGAAAAATAATGTTGAATGTATCCAGAGCTCTCCTCCCATGTACACGCAGGGGAGGCCAGATCTTTCCAGTACTCCTGTAATCAAAGGAACCACTTGAGTCTTTTGTTGACAAAATACAGTTGAACCTCCCTTAAGGTATCAGCCACCCTTAAAATTGCCATTTTTCCATATTTGAGGTTTCAACGTTTTCAAATAGATATGCTTGAGAGCTTTCTTTTAAAAAAAAAATCAGAAGAAAATATTATTTCTGTCGAAAGATATCGGGGGTAAAAGATTTTTTCTCGTTAATTATCTTAATTGATCGTTAACAAGATCTGTCATACCCGTGTCATATATCAATTAACTTGCCTGTGAACTAGTAACGTTACCGAGTGCGTGCTTCGACACAACACGTGCGAATTGTCTTCGCGTTGTTTATAGCCTTTAGTATTCTCCGTGGATATTTAGCGTTTGCTTCGGTGAAAATGCCGTCAAAAAAAAAAGGTCGTGTCCGTTTTCGTTATCGAAACCGAGAGCGAAAAAGACATCGAAGAGCGAGTTTGACAAAGAATGGGCCGCAAAATAGGCAGAGAGCGACAAAGGCTCATTTTATCAGCTAGAGAAGTGGCTCGAGGAGTTGGATATTCAGAAAAGCGATAATGCTGCAGTTGCTGAGAGTGCAAGCCGCTCCAAAATCCAGCTTGAAGAACCAGATGAAGAAAGCCAATTAAGGCCATCGACCCCATCTGCTGATGGAACGTGGAAAACAATAAGCGGTCGAGCTATCGTATTGAGCGAAAAGCTGCTTGAGAAACTGGACGAGTCTGTATCTTGTCGATTTTGCCAGGGAAGAGTCCAAGTCATGGAAAATGTAGCAACTAAGCATGGACTTGGTTCTACCTGGAGAATCCAGTGCGAGAATGAAAGCTGGCCGGCGCACAAGACAAATTCTGTTTTTAATTCTTCCGAGAAGAGCAGAGCGTTTGAAATAAACCGGGCCTCAGTTCTTGGCCTTCGAGCAATCGGTGGTGGGCATTCGGCGGCTTCAAAGTTTTTTAGTTTCCTTGGCCTGGCGCTCGAGAAAGAATTAAACCGTGCTTCTCGTGGTGTAAAAGAGTGGAAGTTTTCCAACGGAGAATTAAACTGTTCACTTGAAGATGTTGATAGCAATAAAAAGTTTGTTCCTGTTACATGTTACCTGTCAAAGTCCTATTGTTAGAGGAAATTCATCCCTCTCTGATATCAATCAGTATAAACATTTAGGTGTTATAATCTCATTCCAGGTAGGATGCCGCCAAAAATGTATTTTCTATTTTATCTCCAAACGCAAATTTTCCTGATCGACTCATACGTTTTGAACTCCAAGTCGGCAGCCTTTCAATCAATTTGGCTAAAATTTGGCCAGAGTGATGCCATATATCTCTTCTACAAAACCGTGTCTGCGAATTTTAATACTCCTTTTCATTTTAAAGCTAGAGCTTTTTTTACACAGAGAGTGTTGACTAATTGCCTTCCCCAACTTCATTTGCTAATAAAAGAAAAACAAACGCACTTGTCAAAAATCTGAGACACGGTTTTTTAGTGGAACGTGTTGAGAAGCGAATGCGGTGTCAATTGTTTTCTTCTGTTTATTTCCGGCGGGAGTGGAACATGATTTATAGAGACGTGTACTTTTACACAAAGCGTTCCAATTTCGAAACACATTTAAGTAAATCGTTTTTCTTAGTTCAAATCCATAATCTGGAATTATTAAGCTTTTAAAAAATATATGGTTTATAGGGGTTTTTATAAAAACAACTAACGCTACAGCGATCCGCGCGCGGACTGTCCTGAAGGGTGGCTGATACCTTAAGTGGTTACCCAACAAAGACAAAATCAGTATGCCAAAATTTAACCTTCTAAACCCTGAGATCAAAATTCAAATTCTCATTTGTCGCCCCTATTCATTTACCACAGAAGTAGTGAGGAGAAGGTAAAGCAAAGCAAATTCATCTTTTGTGATCATGTCCATAATTCTCATAACCACCAGCGTGCAAAGAAAATGGTGTTCGATAGTCTGGGCTGGGGCTAGTGGATTTTGCTATCGGGCTGGTGAATTCTGTTCTTAACTTGCCTGACAGGCAAGTGACGTTTTTTTAGGAATTCTAATAACAGAAGAACTGTGAAATCAATTCTGCTCATCAAAAAGCTTTCGGGGCTAGTTGAAATGATGCCAGGGCTAGTAAATGCAAGCTTCAGCTTGCCCAAATAGCAAGCTGTAATAATGATTTTCTTTGCATCTGGACCACTCTGTTTTACAAAGCATTGCCATTACAAGGAGACATTTGATACTGATCACTCTTCTGGTAGTTTACTGATCCACAGGGGGTCTCCTCCTAGAAAAGGTTTTGATGTATCTTCATTTTAGAAGAGATTCGTTGCATGCAATTTTTAAGTTTCAACACGTTGTCGCTAAACAATAATAATCTGTTAATTAACATGTCTAAATAAATGCTATTGTGTGAATTATTACAACTGTTGTATTATTCTGTTTTGTTTTTATGTAATTTTGGAACCAATCTGTAATATTGTTATATACTTTCTTTTAGTTTAAACTTTGTAACTGCAGCGTGTCTTGTGTGAATAAACGACTATTAAATAATAATAAAAAATGTTATTGCTAAACATTCTTTGTACACTCTGAATAGTATACTATATTCAGGGAACATAGAGATCAAACCATCCAGGTGGTTCTTACAGGAGGGTAAAACAATAGAAAATTCCAAAACTGTCATCCAAAAAAGTGGTTGTGAGACTTTGCTTACGAGAGGTGGTGGTTTATGAGAGGTTCCAACTCTACTGATTTCACTTGATGCGTACGCACATGCAATTATATGCACAGCATGCTGTTAAGTAAAATTAAAGCAAAAAACTACAATCTGTAGGTGACTCAAGACTCCTTGCAATATTTTTATACATATAGGTGACAGATTTTGGATTTGCAAAGAGAGTGAAGGGAAGAACATGGACTCTCTGTGGAACACCTGAATACCTTGCACCAGAAATCATTCTTAGTAAGGTAAGAAAATCTGTGAAAATATTTAGCACATCACTGTTGATTAAATCTACACTCGGTAATGTGGCAATTTTTTGTTCTTTTGTAATTCTTCTTCAGGGTTATAACAAAGCTGTTGATTGGTGGGCTTTAGGTGTTCTCATCTATGAAATGGCTGCTGGGTATCCTCCATTCTTTGCTGATCAGCCCATACAGATATATGAAAAGATTGTATCTGGGAAGGTAAAGTATGCAGGGATGTAGATACAGATTTTAATAAGCAGGAATGTGGACATCATAGGTGGGTATGATGGGCCAGAGGCCCATTTAATGATGCCTTTGGCATGATTCACCTAGGGGGGTCCATTGGCATACTCCCCTGGAAAATTTTGAAAATTTAGAATACTTACCATTTACATGGGAAAACCGGCAAATTTCGGTTGGAAAATCAAATAGTTTGTGCCATTCCATTTGGGAACCTTCAGAATATGGGCTGTGATTTGAGGTGATGCACTTTTTCTGCTCTGTTTAGTCTGTTCAGCTGATTTTGATTTACTTTGAAGCAGGTCATTATTCCAGCACGTCAAATTTTACAGTTTTATGTTTACATACAAAATTTCCACCCAAATGGTTTGTGTAAGTGATAAACATCACTAGACTCTTGGAAACACATTTTCCTGATTTTGGTGCAAATTTGATCCAATTGGGTACTTTTCCCAGGGAATACAGATAAACAGATTTCTCACAAATAAAGCTTCCATAAACTGTGATACTATAGTACTAAGGTGACACTGTTGTCTACTCTGGCTCATGATGTGGAGGTAAAAATTGTTCAGGAGCAGATGGAGAAGTAGTTGTGCATGTGCGCTAAATGTTTTGTCTTGATTCTCAGCTTGTTGTCTAGAACATTTTACTTTCGGCCGGTTTTTTGCATGCTCTTTTGACTTCAGAATCACTTTTCTTTCCTCTCTTCCCTGACATATCAAGCAAATTTTGTCCACTACAGTCTGTTTCCAAAGGAATATGTGATCTCACATTTACTATTTTGCATACATGAGGGGTAAAATTTTATAGTACTGCTGACACAAAAGAAAGAGTCTGACAACAGAAACGCAATACAGTCATTTGAGCTCCAAAAAGTGGAGTTTGTAAGTTCATATCAGGTTCGGTTAAAGAGAAACTAAGGTGTGGGCAGATTAAAAAAAAAATTGCTAACATTCCTCTAGAAACATTTAGGAGAGAGAATAGGTCCTTTCTGAGGAGGCTACCAGGGTTGTCAAAAGTAGACAGCTGCTGGCAAAAATCACCATGGGCAGGCTACTCTGCTTGGCATTTCTTTACTGATGGTGTTTTTTTAAAAAAATATCCCTGGACTGGGCACTTATTTTGACAACTCAGCCGTCTATTTCAAAACTTTCTGACAAGTCTGGGCTACTTGCTTTTACAGCGGGAAGAATGTGCTCACAGCAGGGTAATTTTGCCGGCTCCGGGCTATTATCTCCATCCCTGAGTATAAGGTCTCAGAAGTTTCCTCTAGCCATTGCCATTTTTTCACATAACAAAGGCTTTTGTGGCTTTGTTAGAAACAGGACTAGGTTACCGCAAAATCCTGTCCAAATGTTTGTTTTACCAATAGGTCAAAGTAAACCACTTAAATACCCTAGATTTGATTTAGGAAACCCCTGTGGGTTTTCGTTCTTCATTTACAGGGCTCAAAACTGAGGGACGGTCAATAGACAATGTCCTGCACTTGCCAGTCTTATCAACCAGTCACGCAGACTCTTTCTTTTAAACAAGCAGCTCTTCACCTGTAAATCTTGCATTTTGTCTCCTTGTAAAAGGACAATCACGTTCACAAATACAAAATTAGACATAACAAGGATTGGTTCACTTTTTTTAAAATTTTGACCGGTCAAAAAACATGACTTGATTGAGCAAAAATTTCTTTGGCCAGTTATTGTGTCCAGCCACTGTCAAAAAATTATTTTAAGCCCTACATGTAATAGACATCTGTCTGCAAACAGTGAACTCCTGGTCACTGAAAAAGTTGCCATTATGTTATGGATGGGGTAGGGAGTGATCAAATGAATCATGTTCACAAAAAAGTAGACTTATTTACAAAAGTGTAGATTAACATCACAGTGATTGTATCTTGTTTTTCCATTCATTTCTTTGTCAGGTTCGCTTCCCATCTCATTTCACAGCAGATCTTAAAGACCTGTTGCGTAACCTTTTACAAGTGGATTTGACAAAACGCTATGGTAATCTAAAGAATGGTGTTGGGGACATCAGAGGTCACAAATGGTTTGCATCCACAGACTGGATAGCCATTTATCAACGAAAAGTATGCTATAAACTTGCCTTTGTTAAGAGTTTTTTTTTTCTTCAGACAATAATTGACCCTCTTGCATTGGTAGTTAGTTGCCTTTGACCATACATTTCTGAATCTACCAATGTATGGTTTTCAACGTTTTACGCAAAAGCAGCTTAACAAAAAGTAGCCTGCAGTGCAGGTGTATTTTAGGTGGGTGAAACCTTTGTGTTCGTGTTGTTGTAGCCGCCATCTTTGATTTTATGACATTGGAAGGTTGGGGAGAGTAGAAATAGCAACCCTTAGGGTAGGTGCAAGGGCAAAAGAAGGAAAGGGGGGAGGAGAAAGGGAGAAAAAACTCTTCTCTCTCCCCGCTCTCTTTGACTCGCCCCATTTCCTCCTGTCCTCAGGAAGTTTCAACATGGCGCTTTCGCGAGCAAAAACATTTGTGCTCCCGAAGAAAACACCTGCACTGCAGGCTAAACAAAAAGTCACATGCTGGTTTTTTTGTGGCATAATTTGTTGTCAATACCATTGTACTGGTCCACAGAGTTATCTCTGAATTTAGGCATAATTTAAGAAAAATATTGTTGTTTTGCCTTTTGTGTAGGTTGAAGCACCCTTTATTCCCAAATGCAAAGGTCCTGGAGACTCCAGCAACTTTGATGATTATGAGGAAGAACCCCTTCGCATATCCACCTCAGAGAAGTGTGCAAAGGAATTTGCAGATTTCTGAAGAGTAAATGACTGACCTATAACTATTGTGTATTTAAGTTATCCAGCAGTGTACAGAAAAGAATGATTGACTTTAATATATCAGGCATTCTTAACAAGGAGTCCACAGGCCATTAATGGACAGTATTCCATTTGGAACGTTATCACTTTGCCCGGTATTCCTTCCGTTGTCCTAGAACTGCTTTACAAAGGCTTTTTATTTATAAAAAAAACTCCATTGTAGTAGATTTTAGGAGAAAGAATTTTTAAAGCAGGCATGTAAATGTATTATTTGTAATTTATACATATTATATATAATTTTGCCAATTCATATTTTAGAACACAAGTATGAATAGTCATCTTTAGTTCCAACGATGTTCATCCTTCAATGTCAATAAAGTTCATTGTGCCTGTAGTTGTAAACATCTGTGTAATATTAGTTTGCGTAAAAAGGACAACTTTCATGATTTGGCCAAAACTATGGCCAAAAGGGAAAAATGTATCATATTTCTTGCTTGTTTTTAGTTGCTCTATTAATGCAGAAACTTGTTAAGATCCTTTGTGTCCAAGGGAATCACTTTATGTCCAGATCCCCATCCATTTTTCACACTTACTTTATGCATGTGTGGGCAAGATTTTCTCTGGAAGTTTGATAAAAATAAGTTTGTTGTTGTGGTATTTTCCATGTTTATAAGAAAGTTATTGTCCTTATTCCAGGTTATCAACGTTTAAAATGTTTTGATCTTACTTAAAGACCACATCAAATTCACTAACCAATTTTATGAAGTTAAGAGCCACATAATTTCCGAGTTCTCAACAAAAGGTTGGCGAAATTCCTCATTTAGGGGAGAAGAAACTTTGCAGAATTTTCGGAGAAGAAAATTCAGAGAAGTCAATGCGAACTGACTTTGCAAGTTTCTTGATTCTTACTCCCAACCAGCTAGTTTCATTTAATTGTCAAATTTAGATTTTTATCTGGTATCAATATACTGACCTAATTTTGTAGACCTAAAATATCTTGCCTTATTAATAGTGTACAAGAACAGCTGTCTCTCCCTGCTTCTTGCGGCTAGGGACATTTTGAAGGAAAGACATCTGTGCCTCTGTGACAAAGAATTTGATACAGATGACTTAAAATCTGTCCTGAATTTTAGCTGTTTACAGATGACAGATAAAAGGCCACAAAGGTCAAATGTACATGCAATGAATCTATACTACAAAACAGTCAATATTAGTGGAATAAAATTTATTCTTCTCTAGAAGATGTGTGTGAGTTTTGCTGGAGCTTGTTTGCATAGGAACAAAAAACTTTACCATAACCAACCAGAAAAAAAACATAAAATCAAACTATTTTTGAAACTCCATGACTACCTGAGCATGTAAACATTCATCTATGTCATCGGTAGGGAATTTCGGACATTGGAGCAGACGTCTTTCTTGGGCATGTGAAACATCCTTAGCGCAAAGGAGTGAGGAGAGGCAGCTGTATTTGCAGGCTTTTGTTTTAAACAATGCAAATATTTAGCCTCGTTTCATCCAAAGAGGGGAAAAGGGAAAACTTTCAATACCCTGTAAATACTTGGTGCATGTGTAACAGAAGTGCCAAGAACATGTTCTTTACGTCATCATTATAATGACGAATGGGAAACCCCAGTACAGTTGAATTCAATTAATCTGTCACCCTTGGGGTACTGGCAAGTAGCTTCTTAGTCGGAGAGTGGCTGCTCAATAGAGGTTCGTCAAAAATTAGCATAACCTTTAGCAGTAATGAAAGTTTTGGAAATCAATATTCAAGGGGAACCCGGGCAGTTGCAATTGGCTCACTTTTGGCTGAGTATGTGCCACTGGCCACTCAGACCCCTTCGCAGGGCCAGTTCAGTCTATTCTGTGGCCAATAATTTAGACCCCATTTTAGTCACTTCTTGGCAAATGTAATTTTCACAATCCCAACGTACGGTCACTTTTTATTATGCATAGAGCCTTCAACAAGGTCATTTTAACCCCATTTTAAAATCCACATTTACCAGAGTTTTCTTACTCCCCAAAATCCCACAAATGTGTGACCTCATTCTAGTAGCCTACTTTATCATATGACCATATAAGAAAAAAAGTCCCATAAGAGAGCCTTATGTGTCAAGTACTAGAGTCAGAAAAATGCGTGTGGCCCCTCTGGAAAAGTGCACATGAAACGCGGCAAATGCTGCCACAAACGCGTTTTCGCTCCGTCAGAAAAATTCAAAACCACAACGGTCATACCATAAAATGCCTATTGTCTGATTCAACCTCGTCCCCAGGGTCCTCTCCTACAAATCTCTCGCTCCGCAGGGACGGGTAGGAGAGGACCCTTGTGACTAACAAAAGTGAGGTTGGGCCAGATGGGAAAATGTTTGGCTCTTGGTCAGGACAATGTTTTCCCGTCCGGCCCTCCAACTCGGTCATTCAGTACGGATTAATACACCCCTGTATAGTCGATCCCACCATGACAATGCCACCCCATCCAGCAGCACATGCCCATGAGCTTATAAGTAGGAAATACCCACAACTGGCCCAGGCAAAGGGGTCAACTGTTTCCTTGTATAAATGCTGGTTATAGGCATATCCTTGTTTTCATTTCACCCTAAAACATATGAAGAGTTAATGAGTTCCATAACGTTTTGCCATCCAGCAACTTTGCAGTTTTTGATTGCTGCTATTTTCTTTGTTGTTGATTGGAAAGCTGGCGCTGGAACTTGCACAAAGTGCTTGAATTACCCAGCCCTTACAATTTTTGAACCTAACTCGTATATATGGCTTAATAGCCTGTGAGCAAGCTCTCCCAGGGAGCTCTGGTGGAAAACCCAGGAGAGCTTGCTTGCAGGCTAATGGCTACGTCTTCTATGGGTTAACTTGTACGCCAATGAGCAAAAATGTAAACAATGATGTCACAATGAATCTGCCTATAAAAAGTTAACCCTGCTGAGAGAGTGACCGAACAGAGTGACCTTCTACTGGGACAGGTTTTCTCCACAAACACGGTCTAACACCGTCAGACAGTACCATCCTCTACAAATATCGCATGTAATTTTCTGGCATACAAGAATACCGTAAATTCTCTTTTAGGTCCCCTCCCTCCCCTCCCCTAATTATTCTTCACTGGTAAATGATAGACTTTATTATCGATCACGACTGTAAAACTTTGTGTCTACTGATCAGGGATGGTTTATTAATTTACCAACTGGAAGTTTGGATTTGATTCTGATCCGCAGCAGCATGACCTCCAACCTTCTTGTAGTTGAGCTTTTACACTTTGTATTCTAGTTCTTTATGGAGAACTGATACCCCCCATCCCCCCCCTGCATCAAATAAGCTTCTCATCTGTATTAAGCCCCTCCTCAAATGGGCTTGAAGTAAATAAGGAGACGTAATAGAGGATTTACAGTGCCTTGGGCTTGTGTGAAAGCAATGGACAAGAACTGGTGCATACCAGAAAGAGAAAGCGCTCCACCAGGTTTCACCAAATGTCAGTTTGTTTTAATTATTTAATAATGTAGCAAACATGTTAGTCTATTTACACAGCCTGAGCAAATTTCCATCCACAGAATTCAGTTTTTAGCATGTCCATTCTCTGTTACTGCAGGTGTTGGTTGGGCTACTTGTTCCTCATCTTGACGAGCCTTTTTTACTGGTGCCTCTGTTTCTTCTTTCTCAGTTGTACTACTCTCTTCCTCTGGCTTCCTCTAGGACAAAACCACCATAAAATTATAGCAATGAATTGGCAATTTGCCATCGATTGCGCCTAAGCATGTACACGTGAGGGAAAAACATGTTCTAATTGGGTGCAAACATGACATGTCTTGCTGCCAAACATCCAACGTTTGGAGTAGGCAACTGTTATCAACTTGATTTGTTTTTAATTGGCTCAACAAAATTAGCCTGCGTCGCAGACGCTCTAAACCTTCTGTATATACAAAGGGTTTAGACGAGTGCGTGGGCCGGCTGCAACGCAGGCTAAACAAAATAATCTTTGCAAGAAATTTCAAAGGTTAAGAATAATTCCTGGGGGCAAGTCTGCTGTTTATTTTACATCACACAATATCCTTGAACATGGAGGTTATATCTGATGGCTGGTGCAATGGATTGGTTGTTTTTTGGGAATGGCTGGGAGTAATAACTTTGCACCACTACCACAAAATGCAATATATAATAATACATATTAATGGCAGCATACACCAATTTCTACTTTCTTACCTTTCTCCTCACAAGGTGACTCACATCAGTCACAGGTGCACCAGTAGATACTTTTTTGACCTGTATCTAATCAGCAAAACAAAGGCAGTGAATACTTGGTAACATGGAATTCACTGTAAGGTTCACAGGGAAACCCTGCACATGGGTTGGCAGCTTCCTAGATAACAGAAATGATGCAACTCTACAGACCATCAAGAAGCTTGAGATCTGCTTCCAAGTCAAAAAGAAACTCCCGATGAATAGTACCATCAACTTAGTTGAAGGGTTATGGCTGTTGGTCACTTTCATTTGCCACACCTGAACTATGGAATGCACTGCCAGAACCTGCCCGCCATCATGATGATCTTACAAACTTTACGACTGCTATAAAGACTGTCTTATTTCATGAGCATTTTCAGGTAAAGTGCTGTTAATAATGTATCTGTTGCAGCTAATTTTTTTATTTCAGTTAATTTTTGTTTTTCCTTTGTTTTAAATGCATTCTTGCATACATTACCGCACCCAAAAACAATGGAAAAAAATTAACTGAAATAAAAAATTCACTACAACATATATGATCATTGATGTAAATTTTAGGAGTCAATTTATAAATACAGATTTAAGTTTACTATTTTTACATTATTTATGTTTTTGATATTTGAATGTAAATTTTCTTAAAGTTGGTGTTTGAAGCTTCCTTAAAGGGGTAGTGGGTGGGGGAGGAAGGGGGGGGGGTTAAGGTACCACATACCCACACAAAACTTAACTCTCAACCCCTGCCCCCCCCAAACCTCCCCTCCCCCCACCCCTGCTTTCACCAAGTAGCTTTACAGTAAATACATTGGATTTACTGAATTTAATTTGCATTACAGCGAGCTTGCCATGGCAAATAAGAAAAACTAGTTGGCAATAAAGGTATAACACATATGACAGAAAAGTAAATTACTTCCTTTTAGTTTGTAACAGGAAACATAACTATTGTGCAAGAAAACCAATAACCACAGGCTAGGCTTTAAATGCACAAAAACGTATGTATTCTAAATTTTATTAAAATTTAATTATTATAATCTTACTGTGTTGACAGGAAGATCACTTTTTTCCAGCCCACTTGATCCAAAGCCCTCTTCTGTTGTTGATTCAGCCTAAGTAAATAAAAAAAGAAACGTAGAAAAATCCAATGCATTTTGCAAACAAATTAAACTTTGTGGCAAAATTAATAATCTCAAACAGATGATGCATTGTTTTCATCTGATACATAAACCCTAGACCCAAAAGGTTGAAAAACAAGTTGCGATGAAGATTTGATAAGGTTATTGACTTCGAGTTACCAATCAGACAAGAAACTAAAGTGTGAAGCATTATGTACGAGTCATCGTTTTGTATTGAGTCATTAAGGCATGAGATTTTTTATCCTTGCTGAGGTGTCAGGATTTTTCATAGAAAATCAAATCATCCTAAAAACATCCAAAGCCAGCTGCCAAAGATGTTTAATGAAAGTTCATTAAAGAGTTACAGTGCTTCAGAGTTAAAGTTACAGCGCTTCAGCAAATTGAAAAAATTTCAACTGGACTTAATTTTTTCTTATCTTGCATTGTAAATGTTTATTAATTTTTACTTTGTTAACATCTCTAAATGTGTTGTTGTTTTAAGGCTGCAAAAGGAGCTCAAATTTTTCTGTTATCGCAATTGAGAAATTGGTTAGCATAGGCATGGTTTTCAGTCTGGAGGCACAGCATAGAGTTGCCATCAGCTGGTACAATGATATTCTTGAAAAATGTTAAAATTTGTGATGTGCCTTCTACGTTGTACGCTTCCTTTAATCTGGTGATTAATTCCTTTCATTGATTAATTTATTCTCTTTATCAATGTTTTTGCTTCAAACTATGAAATTCACAGAGATGGTTAAATACAGAAGGGAACAGGATGTACAAATAATCATGTAACTTCCCTAATAATAATATTTTGTTAACCCATTAAATCCCAATGGTGACCAATATCAATTTTCTCCCAATAATATTCATACCATGTCAAGAGATTAGGTTATAAGAATTTGTGACATGATGACTAAAGAGAAAATGCTTTGATCTGCCATCAAATTCTCTCAACTAATTCTTAAAGGAAATGTATGGAGATCAGTTTGGAGAATTTGTATGTGGATATTGGGGCTTAAAGGGTTAATATATACATGACTCATGTACGAGTCACATTGCCACTTCAAGTCAAACTACCCGTACAGTCATTAACATACCTGCTGACTGGCAGCAGCGTTCATCATCTCTTGAGCATCATCCACCTAAAAAAATGATAATCAAAATACCAAAGTTATTTTTCTCTAAGCACACTTATATACTTAAAATGCAGGTCTTTTTTTTTTATTTTTAAATGCTGCTTAGTATTTAAATTGCCTGTGGGGGAAAATCTCTATTCCTCATAAGCTTTGCTTCTCGGAGATTTCTCTGCCACAGTCACTCCTTCCGAGTTGTATGCTCATTTTAAATTTAATATTAATTAACTGTTTATTATCTTTTCTATTCTACTTGTAATTTATTCTGTGTGGCAAATTAATAAAATAAATAAATAAATAAATATTAACGTAATAAGTACAACAAGATTACTCGAAAATTTTATTCATTCCTAACAATAATGGCCACAGGAAAAAAATCACAGATACAACAAAAAAAATTTAAAATCTTAACAAAAGAAAAAATAAACGGAACTTACAGTTCTGCCAAAAAGTTTATTTTGAATTGGCTACACCATATAATGTTGCTATTAATAATAATAACTTTAACAGTTTGAATGACATAATTTTGACCTAACTATGACTGAATAATTAAAGGTTTTTAATGCTCTGAGAGATTCAAGTTTAATTGTACAATGATAATAATAATAATAATAATAATAATAATAATTAGTAATAATTATAGTAATAACAACAAATAATCGATAGAGTCGCATTTAGTCAGTCAATAACATTAAAACAGCTAACAAAATCAAATATAAAAAGCTGACAGTTAAAAAGTTAAAAGGCTAAAAAGGCTAAACAACTAAAAAGGCTTAGTGAAAAAAAATCTAAAAGATTCAACTATCATGAAAATACAAAGGCTAATGACTAAGAGGCTAAAATGAAAATTTTACAGCCTAAAATATTTGGCTCTTAAAAACTTTTTTAAGTCCTGCTTAAAAATTTTACAAGGCATGGGTTTCCTTAAGAGATTGGGGAGAGTTGTCCAGTCAAAGACAAGACAAGACAATATTTTATTTGGGGTCTTACATACACCAGCTGAGGCCATTTACTACACTACACATAGCAAGTTATTACAAATAGCGATAGTTACATACACACAGACACATATTTTGATTTACAAAGCAAGCCCTTTCCCCCTTGTATATAAGCCCCTGTCTAACTTAATATATAGAAATGAATGCAATTTAATTTTATGAAGTTTGGAAGCTTACGTCTAAAACTAGTATAGTAAGCCCCAGCCCAGCTCTACTTACAAGCTCCCCTAAAACCCCTTGTGAAGATGTGTAAGCTAAGCCCAGGGCTTATAAGCGAAAGTTTACAGTATGGTACTTCATAGATCAAGTTAAGTTTATAACTAAACTTCTTTAATTTTGCTACTTACCCTGGCCTTGATCTCTGGAGATAAGTTTTGTAACTCTTCAAGTTCTTTTCTATCTACTACACATGGATCATTTTCATTTGCTTTGCCTTTGCCTTTGCTTTTAGCATCTGATTCCGCAAGACGAGCTTCAATCTTTGTAGTTCTGAGTTGTATAATGCTTAACGCCTTACTGTAGAACTCTTTTGACTTGGAATAATCTGGTAATAAACTATAACCTAAGCCAAGGTTATAGGCTCTGTAGTAGAAAAGTTAAGCTGAGGCATACACACAAGTTCACAAGTTGTAATGTGGTCAGTAAAGGGAGGCCATGACTCCACAGTCAAAAGTACAGTCAATTTATTATTCTTAAGTAAGGTTAGGGAACAGAAAATGACCATTACTTGCTGCTTCACCTCATCTTGGCACTCTGGGAGGAGAGCATGGGCAGTGAAAGGGTCCTTGGTCAACACTTATTTCCATCTACCAAACTGAAATCTTTCTCTCAGTGGCTCTCACAAGGCATTTCACTTTTCTTACATAAAATTTCTCCGTCTCTTGAAATTTCTGTTCGTAAAGTCTAAGTCTCTTCAATTTTTAAGGGAAAAAAAATTCAGGACGGGACGAGTAGGATTCGATCTGGGAGCATCGGCTCTGCAGTCCATCACTTTTACACCAACACCACCGAGGATTTGCTGACAGTGTATAGCAACAACCCTAACCCTAACCCTAAACCCTAACCTAACCCTTACTTTGTGTACAAATCATTAATCTGTCAACGTCAGTTTGGTGGATGGAAATAAGTGTTGACCAGGGTCCTTGGGTAGGCAAAGGGTTCGTGGTGGGGGGAGGGCTTGGGTATGGAGAGGGGTAGTGTAGGCAGGAGGTTCTTGAATTGGGAGGGGCTTCTTGGATAGGAAGGGGGTTCTTGCCAATGGGTGAAAAGGGGCTTCCTGGGTAAGAAGAGGGTTCTTGGGGAGGAAGAATGTTCTTGGGTGGGCAGGGGGTTCTTGGGTCGGGAGGGTGTCCTTGGAAGCAAGGGGGTTCATAGGAAGGGAGAAGGTTCTTGGATGAGGGGAGTTTTCAAGTTGAGGAAGGGGTTCTTGAGTGGGGAGAGACTATTGGGTGGGGCGGGTGGTTTCTTGGATAGGAAAGGGCTTCTTTGGTAGGTTTTGGGAAGTTGGAGAGTATTGCTGATTAAGACTTCAGAAGGTACTACATACTGAATATTATTAATATATAAATTTTTTTTTTCAGGGAGGAAGGGGTTGGAAGGTCATCCTGGCATGGCAATCTTAGGAGCGACACAAGGAAAAAGCAAGTCTCAAACAGGCTGAAAATGTGGATGGCACTGTTCGATTAATTCTGCATTGCCAAGTGAGTAATTAGGGTAGAGCTCAACCCAGTTTCTGTAGCATGAAGCAACAATGAATATTTTTCTTCCACCTTGGACAAGATGCCAGTTTGTCACAAGGTGGCCCTAAACATTAAATAATTAAAATTTGCTAGTATTGGATTTCTTACAGCTGGGGAGTGAAATTCTCCCTCTGATTCATAAGCATTTATGAAGCACACTGGAAGGAGAATTTATTTGCTGACCAGTGGACAATTTCGGGCTTTATTTTCAGGCACTCCCTCAAGGTTATCTAGACTTGGTGTATAGTGAAGAAAGATGTTGGATCGAGTGAGCAGTGAATGAATGATTTTTTTACAATAAGTAAGTACAAGGATACGTTTCTGCAATAAGTCTGTCATCAGATTCCAAATGCTTCTCCTGAAGCTCAAGACACTTCTTAAAGTCTTCTATGGCACCTGCAAATTGCTCTTGAATGCAAGTCAAGAAATATTCAGTACAGCTCAATTATAAGCAGATACTAATAATATTTATTCTGGGATCTGAATGGGCCTGCAAGCACCCACCTGGATCATCAAATCCAGTCCCAAAGTTTATAACATAATCAACACCTTAACTTAATCTGGCAGGGAGTGCAACTCAACAAATGACAGATACTTTTTGTTAGGCCAAAGAGTACCCAAGAAGGTCCATGTACATGTACCTGTTGTGGTTCAATCTTATCCTTGTTTAAATTTACTTTTCTTTTGTTTCACACTCATTATCATACAATACTATAGCCAAAAACAAAAGAAAAGAAAATTTAAACCAAGGATAAAATTAAACCACAACATACCTTATGCTATCAAGGAATCTTTTCTTTAGTTGTCCACTTAGACAGCAGATAATTGGTAAATGACTCTTTATTTTTTAGTCACACAATACTTCGATTACTAAAAAATGCCATGTTTTACAAAGTTTTTCAAGCAAAAGTTAGTATTTAACCCTTTAAGCCCCAATATCCACATACAAATTCTCCAAACTGATCTCTATATTTCCTTTAAGAATGAGTTGAGAGAATTTGACTTAAGATCAAAGCATTTTTCTTTGGTGATCATTTTATGAATTCTCATAACCTAATCTCTTGACAATGTGCGGATATCATTGGGAGAAAATTGATGTTGGTCACTATTGGGACTTAAAGGGTTAATAACAGATTTGCTTTTACCGGTAAGCTTGGCTAAATCTATATATTATAATTCTTATACCTTGCTCTAACTGGATCTCTCCAAGCTTAAGATGAACTTCTGCTAAATTCAACTGTGCTTCTTTGTTTTCATTCCTTTATAGAAAATACATAAAAATGCCAGCAATCTCAACTATGAGCTTCAAACAAGAAAGAAAATAATTTTCTCATCATAATTATAACCTTGATCTACAACTTTAATACAAACCTTGAAAAGACAAGATGTGCCATAATTAAAGACTCCCAGGCCAGCTGCATGGTGGGAATATCTCCGTCTTCCTGATTAAAGAAAATAAATAAGACAGTGTGAAACACAGTGATGTTCTAGGAAACTATACCCACCCACCCCTTCCTAACACAATAAAATTATTGACTAAAATCTCACTTTGGGCAAACTGTTGGGTTAGATAATGTAGGGGGGAGGGATAGGTGGAAAACTTTGTTTCTGAATATCATTTTATTAGGAAAAGAGAACGTATGGATGCTGTTGTGATTAGGATTTGCTTGTATTGAAGAAACGTAAGAGTTGCTACTCTAACATTGTGCTTCTTTCACGTTTACAGGGCTGCCTTCCAAGCACAGACATAAGCCGATTGTTAAATGCTTGGCATTTACCTTCTTATTGATAAAAGGCCTTGCTCTGAGTCAGGAAAGAATAGCAGTGATGAATGGGCCCATTTAAAATATAAACTGATTGTTTGATAAGTCAATTACACCAACGTGACTTTAGTAAGACAAACGAAAGTATACACGAATCCTATTACTTACATGGACAAACCTAAATGAATATGAATGATAATTATCTTTCACTTGAAGAATAATAATGATTATTGATGTCAATACCTCTTGCCCTTCTGGGTCAGCTGCTTCAGTGTCGCCTTTAGCTCCTTCACCCTCCTCCTCTTCACCTTCATCATCATCCTCCCCTTCTTCCCCACCCTCTTCTTCATCATCTTCACCTTCTTCTTTCTTGTCCTCATCACCATCATTCTTCTCTTTTGGTGCTTTATTTTCCTTCTCCTCTTTTGTTGAATCAGCTGTCTCAGCTTCCTTTAAAGTTGTCTCCTCAGATTTACTCTCACTCTCTTCTTTTGTTTCTTTTAAAGTTGTCTTCTCAGATTTACTCTCACTCAACTCTTCTTTTGTTTCCTTTAAAGTTGTCTCCTCAGATTTACTCTCACTCTCTTCTTTTGTTTCTTTTAAAGTTGTCTTCTCGGATTTACTCTCACTTTCTTCTTTTGTTTCTTCTTTCTCTGTTTTACTTGATCCTTCATCACCCTTGTCTTCCACTTCCATGCTTTCAGACTCATTGTCACCCTTTTCTTTTTCTTCACTACCAGCTCCTTGAAAGAAGCACAGGACACTTTTTCAAAGTTGGAGAAACGTAGTTATGGGGACCAGAATACCAAGTATACACTTTAAAATGTCTACAAAAAAACCTTATAATGTTGAAACTATTTTAAAAAACCATCTCAGTTTGGTAAGACTTTCAAGCAGTTCAGGCAATCTTTTTTCTTTCGCATTTTTGGATTGTATTTTCTGTACACTGAAGTCAATCATTCTGTTAGACCATTTTTGCAAGTTACCTTCCTCTTTGTCTGCCATGGCATCCTGTACATCTTCTCTAATTTTGTCTTTAGTACTTGGACTCATTTCACGGATCTTTGGTCCGACTAAAAAAAATGAAGATAAGTTCCATGTTAGAAGAGTATTGAAGAAGATACAATGTAATTTACTTCATTCTAAAAGGTCTATAGATGTAGCAGCATGAGTATAACTGGAGTCAAGTGATGAGAAAGGCAGGTCCATTGTGGGCTGGCATAATTATATGACTGCATCGCATCGCGCAGACAGATGATGTCAAAATAATGAACACGTAGATATTAACTGTATTACTACTTCTCAAATATACTATGTGAGAGAAATAAATTTAATATTTAAAGTGGAATGACATGAGTGGAGAGTATTAAATTTTGATGCACCTTAGATTAACAAGTTCATTAAACTGCATTACAATATTGTGTTCTTCAGTGTTTTAAAAAAAATATTGTGCAGAAACACTTTCTTATCTAAGTCCCTCAATGTCATGTTCTATTGTCAAAGCATATCTAAAATATCAATTTAAAAGAAACTCATATCATTTCTTAGTAATCATATTTTGGAAATTATATTTTCGGCAGGGTCTAGAAAACATCACCGAAAAAGTCATCCCTAAACACAGACTTGTGTAACACCTTCAGAGCGCACAGTACCAACCTGTGTCCATTTTTTCCTCCTCTTCATCACTACTTTCTTCACTTTTTGGTTCAACTAACAATAAAGTTTAATAGTAAAGTTCTAAGTTAACATTATAAACTTACATATCAACAAAAGTACAGAAGAAAGAAAAATTAATTTATTCAAGGGTAAAAGTTTGCAAATTTTTAGCATGTTCACATTACACACCTACGCTTTGTCACACAAATAATAATAATAAACAGATTTCTTATAAGCCTAACAGGGTTCTCAATAGATTTTTAAGTAGGAGGTGATCACTGATAAAGTAGGAGGCTCTTCCGCAAAGCCAGAGGTGTCAAAACAAAGCAAAGAAAAGCGACTTAAACACAAAGTAAGCGGCTATAAATCCCAAAGTAAGCGGCGATCAATCGCCGGGTGCCGCCTTCTATTGAGAACTCTGAGCCTAAACAATGTCCTGCACGACAAAACTATATGCAATTGCACTTCACTCAATATGCAGCTCATATAATAATTATGAAATAAATATTGAATATGAAACATTTCTGATAAATACAAACAAAACAAACAGATACATCTACTAAAACTGTCAGTTAAATTCTAAAGTGGTGCTATATTTTTAAAAATTAGCATACCGTCTTTTAATGCATTTCCTAGCACGCCATTTTCAGCCCTATTGCAGAAAGACAATGATAAAGATAACGATAGAAATAAAGTTAGAAATATCAAGTCTTTAGAAACTTGACATAAAACTTTTTATTTCATAATTAATTCTAAAATAACATTTGCCAGTCTCTCAGGTTTCAACATTGACCCTTTAAGCCCTAAGAGTGATCAACATCAAATTTCTCCTTGTAATATCAGTGCTTTGTAAAACAGAGTGGTCATGAGAATTATGGACATGATCACACAAGATGTATTTGCTTGATATTTTATCAACTTCTCCCGACTACTTCTGTAGGAAATGAATAGGGACAGCAAATGAGAATTCAAATTTTGATCTTAGGGCTTAAAGGGTTAATATAAAAGCTTCCAGCAATGCTTTAAGAAACAGTGTTTTCCATGTAATGTTTTTTCTTTCCACCCTGTGAGCATTCCTCCTTCCTGCTAACTCAAAACGGCCTTCTGAGGCGGGGTGTGTTGGGCATTTTGACAAGGTAGCCAGCTCACCATTAACCTGGGCTTTTTTAAGCAGAGTGTTGATGCTTGGCTGCTGGTCATAGCCTATAAAGAGGACCTCCATGTCAGAGACACCAAGTGATCTTCAACAGTTTTCTGAGGCATTGAGGGCAGCAGTCTTTTGACTAAAATTGCACGATACCTTGATTACTGTACATCCTCTATCAAGCCCCCCCCCGGGAGGGGGGGGCTTATTTATTTCAAGCCCATTTGTGGGGGGCTTAATAGAGACGAAGGCTTATTTGAAAAGGAGGGGGGCTTAATTAATTTAGAAAAGATGACGGTATCAGTTCTCCATAAAGAACTGGAATACAAAGTGGAAAAGCTCAAGTACAAGAAGGATAGAGGTCATGCAGCCGAGGATCAGAATCAAATCCAAACTTCCAGTTGGTATATAAACCATCCCGGGTCAGTCCACATGAAGTTTTACAGTCGTGATTGGTTCAACCCATTTGCCCCTGGAGATTCACTTACAGCTGAAAAAGTATAATAAATGACAATCTTCACCCCAATATAGTAAAATATATGGAAATGAACCTTGATAACAAAACTTGTTAAAGTGAACATATTTTGCCAGTACCTTGACCCTTCATTATATCGAATTTTTGCTCTACAAGTAAATCTGTTGTAAAAACAGTTCATTATTATTTCACTGACATACCTTGAAAGTTCCAATAATGCCTTTCCATAAAATAGATAAGCTTCGCCACATTCATCTGCTTTTGAGCCATACTGACTTTCTCTGCACAAACAAAGAACAAAGATGGAGAGCAGAAAAATCTTTACTATATCTTGGTGTTGCAGAAACTCACCAATAATTCTTGGTTAAAAAACCCTGCAGTTGGTGACGCTTTTGTTCAGTGAAAGATTTTACTGCGCTTTTCACAAACATGCGAATTCTGAAGTTCAAAAGCCAACTGACGATTGTGTTTTTCGCTGCCGTCAATCATCTGAACGGACCTCTTAGGAAACAAAACTTTACTGTAACGGGTTCAAAAGGTCAAGGTTTGTGATTTGTGATTGGTGGATTTCGATCCGTTTTGTGTGTTTCTGTGTTTCAAGGTTCGTTGCTTGTGATCGTAATTGTGATTGACGGCAGCGAAAAACGCATTTGTGAAGGCGGCTTTTGAACTTTAGAGTTCGCATGTTTGTGAAAAGCGCAGTAAACCCCTGAGTGAAGCTTTTTGTCAAAATGGTCACGTTTGTGCTATTCAAATACTTGTGTCACGGTTTTAACCAAACCATACAAATATTTTCCTAAGATTAAGATTTTAATATCTAATAAATGGCTTGATTCATAAAGAAAGGGGTGACAATTTTTTAGGCCAAAGTCATCTATTACAACACTCCCTCTAAAAGTACGTTGCTCTGCAGATAGATATAAAAGCACCATTATATTTTAGGAAAGCCATAATAATGAATGTATTTGTGACAAATGCACATGCATAAAATGTACACGTGCATCTACTTTTCTGTGTTAACTTGCCAATGGGAAAAGGAAGCTTTCCGGACTCCTTCGTATGAATGAAAAGAAACATAACATCGATACAAGCGTCGCCTTAA